TTCTTTTCATTCACATGCATCAAGTGAAATTGTAGCCAAATCGGGTTAAAGTCGAATATTGGGTTTTATCCGCTGAAGTGTTCGAAGAAGAAAAAGGAGTAAGTGGACTAAGAAATTAACATTTTAAGCAAAATTATAAAACTATCGGCATCATTAAAATCAAATTTAGTGACACGTTGATTCTAAATATTATTATTATGATTGTCAAAACTTACTTGCAGGCTCACTGAGAAGTACATCGGAAATTTGCCGCCTATTGTTCACTTCTAGAGAACGATGAAAAAGCCTGGAGAAAATTCACGTGTGAAGCCTTTGCGTATATACGTCAATGAAGTTATTACTCACGTATTTGCTGAGATGATAAGTGAAATAATAATTAAACTTTGATGATCGGTGCGCAGTTGAATTGCATTCCTTTTGAAAGGTATAAATTTTCTAAGCAGATGGCGGAATCCGTGTAAAGTCATTGAATGATTTCTTGAAGAGTCATTGTTTTAACTTTTAATATTATTTCTAAACTCCGAAAGAGACCTAACATTTTGTAGAGAAGCAGGTGCAACCAAGGGCATCTATTACATCGAAGAGTTGGTGTAATCAGGGTTAGAACTGTCAAAATGTTATAGCTACGAGGATCGTGGAGTTCTACAATTCGCCTACTTGGACGATGATAACAACGAGGGGACAGCCAGAGATGCATTTTCCCACCTTGGAGCACTATACAAGAGGAGAATGACAATCGCATGTGATCACTGCGTGCCTGAAAAAATTTTTGTTTTCCATCGAAGAAGATTGAGAAATATAAAAGATCTTAGAAGGAGAACTCAGTCATAATTAGCCTACTCTAGTTTAGAAGTCTACTTTCCATCCGCTTTCAGAAAACATACAGCTTGCCAGGAAAAAGAGGGGTTTTTCCTGCTAAATAGAAATAGTTTTAGTCATTTTTTCAAAATTGTAGAATTTTTCTATAAAAAATTGTAGATTTTTGATATGAGAAGATAAGAGAGTCTCTAGCCATACACTGAATTACTCTTGTTGAAAGCTTCCAGAAAATACATAGCTTACCAAGAAAGAAAGGATTTTCCTGTATTGTGAAGGTGGTCGCAATTGTTTTTCTAAAATTAAGGAATTTTTTTTATAAAAATTCATAACTTTACTATACGAAAAGCTAGAAGAGTGCTTTGCACTCTATTGGAATCCCCTCGTCGTCCGCTTTCAGGCAATATATAGTTTGCAAGGAAAAAAGAGGATTTTCCTATCGGGTGAAAGGGGTCGCAGTCTATTTTCCGGAATTAAGCCAATTTTTAACTTAAAAAAATCATAACAATTTTATATGAGAAGCTGGGAGAGTGATTAGGTGTTTATTGAATTCCTCTCGTCGTCCGCTTTCAGAAAAAATATAGGTTGTGGGGAGAGGGATGCTAAAAGTACGTGGTGAAAGGGGAGGGAACATGGTATAATGGAAATCTTCCTTTCTGTACTCAAGAAGCGTCGTTTTAAGGAGCTAAAGGAACTTGGCCATTATACCATGTTCCCTCCCCTTTCACCACGTACTTTTAGCATCCCTCTCCCTACATCCTATATATTTTCTGAAAGCGGACGACGAGAGGAATTCAATAAACACCTAATCACTCTCCCAGCTTCTCATATAAAATTGTTATGATTTTTTTGAGTTAAAAATTGGCTTAATTCCGGAAAATAGACTGCGACCCCTTTCACCCGATAGGAAAATCCTCTTTTTTCCTGGCAAACTATTAGGTCATTCCGAAAGTAATTTCGCTTTTTTCGAACAGGCGCCACATCTGATGGAACAAAGGTTTCTAAAAGATCTTCGAAGCATTCGATGCAGCATTTCATTCTCTTTCTAATGGTTATAAAATTGCTGCAAAACAGTCAATGAGCATTCAGAAAATAACCAAAATCTGGGACCCATGCTTTTTGAGATGGTCAAGTTTCACGATTTTTTAAAATTTTCATATCAGTCCTCAGAAGGAGTTCAAGTAACGGTTTGATAGAGCAAACCTTATAGAATACAGCGCTGCTTTTTCCCCTTTCTCGTATCTCGCCGTAATTTTTTAAAAGATTTTTTAACAGAACCATCGGATTTTGGCAGGCCCACCTCAACCACAATCGCATCAAACAGCATAATTTTTCGGAATTTGAGACTATCAAGATGGTACTATGAGTTAGCATTAATTTTACAAAGCAAGTAAGGGTTTACGGGTTCTAAATATCAAATTTCGAGTTTTTCGGGTACAGCCTCAGGCTCGGTAAAAAAATGATTTATGATGATTTTATCCCCGAAAACTAAACGAATCGGAAACAAAAAACACCCATTGGAAAGAGGAGAAAATGCTGCATCGAATAGTGCCCGAGCTGCTCTTCCTTTGATGTTCTACTAGGATTTAGCTGTCCAAGTATGGAAATCGGTAGCATCAGTTAAAATTCCGTTGAAATTGTATGACAGGCTATGGAAAAGAGAAAAAAGTTGCGCTGTATTCTATGAGGTTTGCTCTATCGAAACGTCACTTGATCTTCTTCTGAGAATTGATATGAAAGGTTTAAAAAATCGTGAAACTTGACCATCTCAAAAAGCATGGGTCGCAGATTTTGGCTTTTTTCTGAAAGCTCATTGATTGTTTTGAAACAATTTCTTAACCATTAGAAAGAGAATGAAATGCTGCATCGAATGCCTCCAAGATCTCTTAGAAACCTTTGTTCCATCAAATGTGGCGCCCGTTTGAAAAAAGCGAAATTACTTTCGGAATGACCTAATATATATTGCCTGAAAGCGGACGACGAGAGGATTCTAATAGAGTGCAAAGCACTCTTCTAGCTTTTCGTATAGTAACGTTATGATTTTTATAAAAAAATTCCTTAATTTTAGAAAAACAATTGCGACCACCTTCACAATACAGGAAAATCCTTTCTTTCTTGGTAAGCTATATATTTTCTGGAAGTTTTCAACAAGGGTAATTCAGTGTATGGCTAGAGACTCTCTTATCTTCTCATATCAAAAATCTACAATTTTTTATAGAAAAATTCTACAATTTTGAAAAAATGACTAAAACTACTATTTAGCAGGAAAAACCCCTCTTTTTCCTGGCAAGCTGTATGTTTTCTGAAAGCGGATGGAAAGTAGACTTCTAAACTAGAGTAGGCTAATTATGACTGAGTTCTCCTTCTAAGATCTTTTATATTTCTCAATCTTCTTCGATGGAATACAAAATTTTTTTCAGTCACGCAGTGATCACATGCGATTGTCCTTCTCCTCTTGTATAGTGCTCCAAGGTGGGAAAATGCATCTCTGGCTGCTTTCCTCATCCCTATCATCGTCCAAGTAGGCGGATTGTAGAACTCCACGATCCTCGTAGCTATAACATTTTGACAGTAAGTCTAACCCTGATTACACCAACTCTTCGATGTAATAGGTGCCTCTGTTGCACCTGCTTCTCTACGCAAATGTTAGGTCTCTTTCGGAGTTTAGATGTAATATTAAAAGTTGGATCAATGACTCTTTAAGGAATCATTCAGTGACTTTACACGGATTCCGCCATCTGCTTAGAAAATTTATATCTCTTAAAAAGAATGCAATTTAACTGCGCACCGATCATCAAAGTTCATTTATTTTTTCACGTATTAATTCAGCAAATACGTGAGTTAATAACTTCATTGACGTATATACACAAAGGCTTCACACGTAAATTTTTCTCCAGGCTTTTTCATCGTTCTCCAGAAGTGAACAATAGGCGGCAAATTTCCGATGTACTTTTCAGTGAGCCTGCAAATAGGTTTTTGATGATCATATTAATGATATTGGGAATTAAAATATTACTAAATTTAATTTTAATAATGTGGATAGTTTTATAATTTTTCTTAAAATGTTAATGTCTTAGTCTCACTTTTTCCAGTTCCTCATCGGCCGTGGGTGAAGGGGGGTCAGCGGGGTTCCGGCCCTGGCGTGAAGGGGGTAGGAACACATTATCGCCTTTTCACGTGTATGCACTTGAAGCAATAGAAAAGCCTTATAACACAATCTTAATCTTATTTTGTTTATAAAAGAAATTTGAAGACTTGCTGTTCAAAATTAGCACTCCGGAGTCACATCAAATTGCTGTCCTTATCTTACATCGATGCATTTCAGTATGTTATTATACTTGGTTCGACCGTAAATTTCTGGTTACATGCCAATTTTTTTAATGATTAGTAAGCTCACTTACAACGATTGATCATAAATTGAGTATCGTACGTTGAATAGCGTTTGTGAAATGTTGAACTGTCCAAGAGGGCTTTTTTTCAGAGGGTTCTTGTTTTGAAACGTTTTAAAAATCTCAAAACACGATCACTGAATATAGGTATAAACTGCAGTGGCTCAATTTTCTAGGCTGAAAGCTTTTTTGATAGTGAGAATCGATGTCATGACCCAGGCCCGTCACCACCACTCATAACTCAGTCACGTTTTTGCAAAGGAAAAGATGGCTATGAAAAAGGTCAAGAATTGGTGAGAAAAGGGTCAAATCAAGAGTCTATTTTCCCTAGGCGACCTCATTGGGTTACCAAGTAACACAAGGCCATATAAATTAAGGATGTTTGCCACACATTTGATTCGAATAGGTTCCTTACAATTCTTAATTCATTGGTTCGTACTCCCTATCGCACACTGCAAGTTTGTTAGCATATCGTCATCGACCTTTTTAGAGGACTCGTTGGGGTTTAAAGAAAGGATTTTTGCTACTCCCTTCATTCACATAAAATTTTATAATTTGCATATCTCCATTATACATAGTTTTTTTTGTGATCTGAGAGTCCATGGAATGCTGCCGTAATCTTCCCTGGGCCCAGTATGATTTTCTTTGCTTTTTGCTTCTAAAGCGTATCATCCAGCTTGCCCATACGTCGTCCGTGAAAAGTTCTGATTTATATTGTCACCAACTCCTTATATCCTCCAACATCGTGTGAAAAGGCTCGTACGTAGCCCAATTTTTGAAGTCGCTATGTTCGATGTTTCAGGTATAATCCACGAATGAGTGCTGTCTGGAATTATTTTCGCAAGACAAATGATGGATTTGGCAATCTCATTGGTATATGCACATTATGTCAACGCCCGCTCAAGATTCCCAAATCGAAGACCACAACGAATTTGTTGGGTCATCTGAGGACAAGCCATGGTGAAGAATTGGGCAACATCACTAGGAAGAGGGGCTTTGAGGCTGGAAATTACGGAAATCCTACCTTCGATGACCCTCGAACGGCAGTGCACAGAAGCTTAGCTCGACTTGTTGTCGAAGGAGCGATACCGATTGAGACCACAGCGCTCAAGCCATTTCATGATTTCTGCGCTGCAATGAGCCCTTCGTACCGTCCTCCGCCACTGAGAATTCTTCGAAGTTTGCTTGATGAAGAGGGATGCCGTTTGGAAATGGCAAATCGAATGACGCTTGCCGATATGTCGTCAATTATCTCGCTGTTGGTAGACCTTTACTATCCGGTCACTTCCAACCAGGGTTTTTTGCTCGTGGGGGCGCAACTGCTGTCACGAGCCTCGCTCGAAAAAAGGATCATAGTCTTAGATGTGGTGCCCGTGGATGACGATAGGTGAGTTTTTTACTAGAAAGTAACATTAAGAGAGACAGAAAATTTTTTAAAATTTGTTTTATCGCTCTATGTACCCCATCTCGGAGAAGATTATTTTTGAATTTCCGCTGGCTTGCCAAGCAAGGGTTACAACCTCTTGCACTCGTGTGTATATTGAGCTGTTGGTGTGCTAATTCTACCACTACTACGATCATAGTGACTCTACCACCAGCAAATTGCCAAACTGCTGATTTCAAAAAAAAATCCAAACAGGATCAAACTAAGCGACTGCGCAGATGGAATTTTTATCATTGTGCAGTTGCTGCATTGTATACTGGCTCTGGTCTTTTGAAAAATATTTGAAAGGCCTTAGTGAAGCTTAGAAATTTGGAATGAATATTTCAAACAGTCAAAATAATTTGTGGAATTTTATAAGATTCAAACTAGCTCAAGGTTTTTCCAGTACGTAGCAGCGGTCATCCCGTGGCTTGAGGCACCCTAAACTTTTTTCAAAGGGCGTGGAGGAGTAGCTAACCCCATACGAGAATTTTGTGTTAACCCTCTCCTATAAATTTTTTTTCATTTTTAAGAATTTTGTTCGGACCGCCGCTGTACCTTAATTCAATGCTGCGCAGGGATCACGTGGCGGCAGTTTTATGGGTACGAAGTACCCGCTGTTTTCACACTAAGAATACGACATCTTCTATGACACGCTTATAAATGAAATGACACGATTAACTAGAAACGATAGAACAGAACACAATAACATAAACAGACGATAAATAAATCTAGGGAGTTTGTAATCTCTGAGCGCATCATTGCGCGCTTGGAGCGGAACTCCCGTCGCCGTTCAGATTTTTTGGAGAGCTATAACTAGGCGAGGAGGAGGGGGATGACTAGGCGAGGAGGAGGAGGTGGCTCGAAAACTGTTTTGTATGATTTCAAATGTAAATTGATGTGAAAAAGTTATGAGAAATTATATGGGAAAGAAATATACGACTTTGGGGCTTACGACTTATTCATGTACCCCACATTGAATTGATACATGCTTTTGGGGTTTCATCCGAATCCCGCAAAAACGATATTTGCCTTGTTTTTTACCCTTAAAACATATGCAGTCTGCTCTGTAAGCCACTAATGCGGAACTGATGCTGCCTTTTTGGATTTATTGAAGCAAAATTGCCCAGTTAGCTAGTAGCATGCTTAGGGAGTTTTGACTTCTATCAGAATTTTTTCTGTAAATAACCAATGTGGTAGATCGCATACTTTCTCCAACCAATCATATGAACTCTAAAAAACCTCATTATGAATGCTAGAAATATAACCACTAAAGTTTTTTTTGGTTAGAAACCGAATCCCTTTGCAAGAGATTTGATTTTAATTTCAGTGGCACAATGTCCGAAACCGTGGTGAGCTGCTTGCGAAAACTCGATGTGGATTTGGCTCGGATAGGAACTGTAGTGGCGAATGAGATTCGACCGTTGCAAGAACTAGCGCTTTGTCTTCGCACAAAATTGTGAGCTTTATATCTTTGGAATCAAACTTGATTTGAAAAATTAAATTTGAAGTTGAAATTTTTTTAGTGTTCCTTGTGCGGCTAATGCCATGTGTCTTGTTGTTGGAGACACACTCCATATGGAACCATGCGCTGCAACAATTGCAAGATTACGTTTTCTGGTATCGGAATTCCAGAGAAACAGAGCCGCGAAAATGCAACTGAGAAGGTATTTTTCATTTCTTCTTCTTTTTTTGCTTTTCATTTCGGAAAATTGCGAGAACATATCGTTTTTTTCAGTCGCCAGAGGGAATGCAAATTACCCGAAGTAACCCTGGCTGTCGATACTCCAGATCGCTGGATCACCACTTACAGTATGATCTGTGATTTTATGATCACAGTAAGTTGTTTATCACCCAAGCACCTTATTACTTGAAGTTTTTGTAGCTGCCAGTATTCACTGAGTTGATGGGGAGAATGAACTTACCAAAGCTGCAAGAGGGTGATGTGCATTTTCTGGAAGCCCTTAGGACATTTTTGGAGCCGTTCTACTCACTCACTAAGCAGGTAAGAAACAGGTGTAAGCTACGTCTACTAGAATGAATTAAAGAGCTTCCTGGTGGACCTCATAGTACAGTCGAGTGAATTCTCCATCTATATAGTGTGCTTGCGGTTCCGAAAAATGCGGCGAAATTTGCGAGTGAACAAATGGCTTCGCCCGTGATGCCGATCATCTGTGCGCACAAAATATTATTGGCATTACGTGGCTATTTGTTCACGCGCAAATTTTGCCGCAATTTCTCGGAACCGCAAGCACACTATATCGAGAGAAATAACTGCTTAACTGGACTTTCGTGTTGCGATTTTATCATTTTGTACTCCTTTACTAATCGTTTGTTTAAGTAGAATGCTACCGAGTTCAGGTCTGTGCGAAAGATGCAACTGCTTCGGTGTTCCTTGCTGTTGGACGAATACTTATAACGACGACTGAGAAGTAAGTTTGACTCATTTTTTTCAAATTTTAGTGCTTCTAACGCTATCTTTGAGTTGTTATTGATTCACTGAAGTTGTCAAATAGTTTTAGGTTGCTCCATAAGTCTTGCACCAACTTTCTGGAAAACCATAACTTTCTATTTTTTACAGATTTGCTTGTTTAAATACATTTTGGAAAGAAGATTTTGGGCACTTTTTAGTGGGCTACAATGAGAGAACCATATTGATATGTAACGGAGCTACAAGATGTTCATTAGTAAGAGTAAATCTTATTTTTTTTTTGAATTTTGGTCGTCAGAAATGCTGAAAGGCTAAAAAAATGCACAACCTACTCTTTATGACTGGAAAAACACCGTAGACCAGACGACTCCATGACAAGACTTATGGGCCAACCTGATATATTCAAAAAACCACTCTCTCCCCCCACCTCCCTCCTCCCTTGTCTTCGAAGATTGAAGTCGTACATCTTATAAATGAAGTTGAATGTGTGTCTGTCTATCTATCTGTATGTCTCTACGTATGTGCGGAATAGAAATTTTTATTTCTGAATCGATCCGGACCAAACCTGGCACACATACACTTCGGGGCAGGCAGCGTGTCATAGGCTACCTTTCGTATCAATCGATATCGATTTTATTGATTTTTTGTAAAGTTTGAGCTACAGGGCTGGGGTTTGGCACAGGGGGTAAATGAGCATGGGGATTCCGAATACAATATTAGTTTTCAGAATTTTCCACTACTTTTATTGATTTTATCGATTTTTTGCAAAGTTCGAGCTACGGGGCTGGTGCTGATTACGAAAACAATATTAGTTTTTGGTATTACCTATTACTTTTGTCGATTTCATCGATTTGCTCAAAATCTGAGTTGAAGGGCTGGGAGTTGGCACGGAGGGGGGGGGTATGTGGGCATGCTGATTTCGAAAACAACACAGGAAATGGGGAATGAAGTGTAGAAGTGAGCACAGGGAAAGGCTGTACAGGGATAGGGATGGACCTTTATTACAGTGTTTTGACAGGGCCGAGCGGAGCCAGGTAAGCAAGCTATATGTAGCTATAGCTATATTATCATAAATTGTTCGCAAGATTCTCAAAATGGTCTACATGAGTTAAGAAATTGTGCATATGGAGGCTTATTTTCGCTTGTAAATAAATTCATTTGCTAAAAAGTTTTTTGAGGAGACGGGTCTTGAGTAGGCCAGCAAAAAATCCGAAGCGCCCGTGATTTTTTTTTGCAAGGCGCAACGCCACACTCTCACTAGGAAAATACTCGAGTTGCAAACCCCCCTCCCCGCTCTTCCCTGAAAACTATCGGTCTGTCACTGGGATACAGCGTTTGACAAGCCCTATATTTTTGCGATTGCATTATGTCCGCCTATGGCAGAGTAAGAACTTGGCGCGCAATGAATCAGAAACCGTTGGAATTCTGATTTAATGTAGACAGTTGTATAAATAAAAGCCCCCCTAAAAATCAGTCAAGCTCTTAAAGTATACCGTATCTTACTCGCAGAGATCATATGCTTATTCCGGCATTATTTTTTAGGCACCAAAGGGAATCAGTCGGTGAAGCTCAACGCTTTGCCCAGTTGCTATGCGAAAATACTTCGAAGTACTTCACTCCATGGTTGGGCGACGAGTTTCTTCAACTGGCCGCATTCCTTGATCCTCGTTTTGCATATCTGGAAACCGTTCAACCGATGAAAAGCTGGACCGCAACTGTGGAGAAGTTTATCGCTCATCATCGTGAGTTATTATTTTGCTTCAGTCAGACTGTTGCTTTCTGTTCTCTATGGATGTTCCGAAATTACAGAAAGCATGCATCCGCCTAGAGAGGAAGCGCAAGGAGGTAGCGGAAGTTCTTTGCAGCAATCACAAAGACAGCAGACGTCGGTGTGGGAGATTCTGCGAGAAAACCAAGATGCTCCCAGCACCAGTTCAGGTGTTTGGAATCAAGGCGATGAACTCAGAGTATGTATTCCAATCTCATAGTTTCTAAAAGTTTCTTGGGCAAATTTGAAAAGATTAGTCTTCTGATTCGGTCCCGCAGTTGGCGCATTAAAAGGAAATTTTCTACAAGAGAAGAATCTACGTCTGCTAACTACACTTCCGATTATTAACGATGTCAAGGCATGCCATATTTATACAGGGTGTCCCAAAAGTAAGTACACACTTTTCAATCGTGAATATCTCTCTTCCCAATGGGTCTTTTTCTGCCAATCAAGTACCATTCTGTAGAGGAGGCTTCAACTTAGAATTACATCATCGATAGAGTCATCGATCGCTCTTCGCTACTGCAGGATTACGGTAAGAACTTCCAGCATGTGGAATCACTGTGAAATATGCCATCTGACAAAATTTCCTTCAAAAAATCTGAAAAATCGTGTACTACGGTTTTCGTGCACGCTGATTCCAATACACAACTTTTTACAAGTGTTTTCAGCTTTTTTGGCAGTGTAATCACATTTCTGACAAATACTGGGAATTAGGTTATTACGGTTTATCTGGGATAATTTTAGAAAGAAGCATCACAGTAAAGTGGAGATTTCGTATTTGAAATCAGCGACTTCCATTCCCATAGTGTAAGAGTTTTCGGATTGTTTGGTTTTGTTTCGAGGCTGAATATGGCCTCTACTGGCCTAAAATCCTTGTCGAAGTTCCTACAGTAATCTTACAGTAATGAAAAGTTATCGATAATTTGCTTGATACTGCAAATCTAAGCTGAAGCCTCCTCTACAGAATGGTGCTTGAATGGTGGAAAAGGACACAATGGGAAGAGAGATATTAATGATTGAAAAGTGTGTACTTTTGGGACACCCTGTACACTAAAGTAGTTTTTTTTAAACAGGAGATTTTCACAACTTTTTTCTCTCTCTCCACCTTTCCTCCTTGAATCTTCAAATTCTAAAATAATCAAAAAGGGCAGCTGAATTCGAATCCATGGCTGCACACGAATTTTGCACTCCCATACAGAAATTAGAAACAATAATATCAAACTTGTTCCTGACCAACCTGTGTGCACTAGATTTGATTGCACTGTAGGGATCGCCAGGCCTGGATAATGGGTCTAAAGGATGTGCAAGACACTACCTGTACAATATTTGCTGTTCCTGATATTTGTCTCTATGCAGAATGAAAGATTTTAAAAACATTTTGTTAGGGGAGTTTCAGGGTGAAGGGATGGTAGTTAAAAGCCTTAGAGGCAGTGGATCGGCAAAATCCAACAACTCGGGATTTTAACGCGGTAGGTTCCTCATCGCCCAAGTATGAAAACAGTGCAATCCCGGTTGCACAGCATGCTTTCTTTGCTGAGAAAACTGCTCTCAAACTTGCACGCGCAGGCCAATCTTACACGCATCCGGACGAGTTGGCAGTTTCCTTCTCACCATTGGAGGCTGCCCGCCGCAACGCTATAACCATTGGGTCCTGCAACGATTTAGCGTCATCAGCCTTGCTCCACTCGTTCAACTAAAGGGAAGGGCATTAAAACGCTCATTCGCCGTTTTGAAGCTTTCAAAAGTGGATTTTCAGGATCAGCGCATTGAATAACCCCAGGTAAGCGCAAATTCGACTAGGTTGAAATTTGCCGAGCCACTGCCTTTAATAACTACCGCATAGCCCTGCATCGCTCACTATCTGCCGCAAAGACTAGTTTTTGAGTCGTCGTTTCTCCCTTTTTCGCATATTGGTGCTCCGAAATGAAATGCAGGAAATTCACTAAGAAGGCCTCATTGTCAAAATTTTTCTTGCAAACAAAATTATCTTTGAAGAAGAGCATCTTTTCTCAAGAGAGCAATTTGATAGGTTTTTTGCATGAGCCTGGGAATTTTTTTAGATATGGATACTTGCAAAAGACCTTCCAGCACTTTTGTAACATCCTTGAAAGTAGTTTTTGAGATCTTTTACAATGTAGTACTTGTAACTAGAACCTGTCACCGCCCCTGTGAGGGTCAAAAAACATTTTTTAAACGCTTGCAAAACTATTTATATCTTACAATTAGATAAGGCAATGATGCCTATTGAGATTCGGCATAATTTCTTACCTTGTATTCACCAACAAGTGATTATGTAGTGCGATATTTTAGAAGACTGCCCTCATCAAAGTCTGAACTCTGCCCTTGTATGAACATACATCTCGAGGAGAAATACGCAAAGTAAAGTTTGGTTGCAGAAAAATTATGATTTCGCGCTTTGATTTCATAAGTTGACTAATTATGAAATGAAACCGCGCCATGTTTCTGAGTGTTGGTTAAATGTGACTTGCTCTAGCCTTTTTGGTGACATTCATTATTGTATCATTCTTTGTTTACCATTCTTTGTCGTATGAGAAGAAATACAAGCTATGTCAAATTTAAACGCTCCCAGGCAGAACTCCAGCATTATGGCGGTATACTGAGGACATCACGCCCGGCGTTCAACACGGACCCAATTCTTTGGTGGAGGGCTTATATGTTGGAATTCCCCATTCTCGCAGCTGCTGCCTTCAGCCATCTGGCAACTCCAGCTACGACTGTGGACTGTCAGCGTTTGTTAAGGTTGGTTGCTTAATCTAATATATAAAGAATCGTTGACTCAATTCAAAAGTCTGCAAATAGCGGGAAACCTTGTGGTTGTCCCAAAGCGAACGCTTTTCCAATTAGCACCTTTAGGTTACTGGTTCATTAGTTACGGAAGTAATTTTTGAATAATTATAACAATGATTTAGTTTGGTTTCGGAATCACCAGCTGTCAGGGAACAAAATGGTCCAATAAGAAAAACCGATCGTTTGTTGCTAACTCTCAAGGCGCATCTGCACAAGGATGTGAGCAGGTAAATAGGTTTTGGTTCCGTAAGACTCCTTGTTCCTCTGATAACTGTGCGGAGAAGATTTCTAGAAAGAACGCTTTGTTTTTCAGAGAATGTAAAGCTTGGACGATTGCTGAAGTGCGGAACTTTGGCTGTAGTGAATCTGCTAGTGTGGACGACATGGAGGAAGACCTGAATCTTTCGACTGTGTATAGATCAGATGAGGAGAAAACTGTGTTCGATGCGGGAGAACCACTAATGTCATATGTGGAAGAGGACGATCTTGATAATATGAAAAACAGACAAAGCTAGGGTAATATATTTGTTTTCACACTTTGTGTGTAATCACGCCCAGAATGGGTCAGACTATGTAGAATTTTATGTCCTGAGGTTGTTATATTTATATTGTTTTTCATCTTCAGGTAGTATATCGAACGAGTATTGTGACTTTGTCATAAGCTGTATTCTGCGTTGTGAGTTAGTGTGCATATTTTGTAATGCTGTGATACTTTTGTGCAATGAAAGTTGAATGCACTCTGCAGTGCACAATTCGTATTCACTATCTTCTAGCTGAATATCGATTCGTATCATTTAGCATACTTTGCAGCAATCATTTGTAGTAAGAAATTTTTTTGGTAAGTTACCATGGACGATGAAATCAGTGATTATCGCTTCACATTTTATCACGATGGCAACACCACCATAATCATGATTTCTGTCCGACAATATGCAGTAGCACAATCAGTCATTTTGGTAGAGAAATACAAGAATAATTTTCTTTCTTTACTACGGACAGGACCGGGTTTGACAGTTTAGAGTGGAGGATACACACTTCGGGTACTGCAACCAAGAATACGCGTGAAGCTAATGTAGCTGCAGCATGGAGATTTACTGTACACACATGTGCAAGTACCTATTTTCCAGATTTATTTTCATATAAAATCTATAAAATGATAAGGCATGGATCCTCTCTTGCAGCTTTTAACCTGATGTAGAATCTACAACATCTATTCTCCGTCTCTGTGATTAAGTTGATTTTTGCTCAGATATTGAGAAAAAGCATGATTAGCATGTTTTCCTAGCGTCCTCATATCCTACTCAAAAAATTTGGAAGTCTTACTGATAATCAATATTCTGCTCCAATCCAACTGCGAGCCAATGCTTTAGCTGCATAAAATCCTAGTTTATGACGCGCCAACTTAGCCGACTATCATTCTAATTGCATGCAGCTGACAGAGGAAGGTGATTCTAGCATCGACCCCCTGCTACTGACAACAAATCACCTCAAAACCATTCTGTATCCGTCTAGAAGTAGTAACGAAAAGGATTCTCCTATTTTGTTTTTTGTTTTTCATGTTTTTCATACGCATTAAAATTCTTGTTTCTTATCTTTACATAAGATAGCCTACGTCAAAGCTCTAAAATAGAGGGGTAGAAGATAAGTGCAGGCAGCTTGCAAGTAAGATTACGAAGTAATACGGTAAATAAGAGGAATTTTCGATGAGTTTTTTGTTCAAGCCAAGATGTGTTATGGACGGAAGGAGAAGGCCGATTTTTACAGACTGAGCTTCGCTTTCTGGGTACAATTGCTTCTTTTGTATGAGTGCTTGCTTGCCCTGAAAGATTCTCTGTAATCTATTATTTCTGTCAAAACTGGCATGGAATACATAACTGGTGCACAAATCAGCGACATGACAGTGACAGTCGCATAACACGATGTCTTGATTATGTTGTTTCAACTTCTTGTGAACTGTCGCTCAAGTACCTCAGAGAATGAATGTGGCAATAATGTTGTTGTGCTGGATGGCCAAAGCTGTATAATCTGAAGTGTGATCCCACTAGTGGCAATTATCGTGATAAATGAAGAACGAGAAGAAGAAACCACGACCGATATAGTTTTGTTGATCGTGCACATATACCTCTATCATAGCATGATATTCTGTTGTATGCAACAAACCCAACAAGATCAATGCTTTTTTTGTGTAATTTCAACGATAAAATTACACCCACTTTAGAATTAAATTCTTATGGAAAAACGTACATTACACCACCACAAAGAATATGTGGTTTCCTAGCAGCGAACAGACTTGCAATATACGATTACCCGCATTTTATCAAAATCAGGCGATTCTATGTAATTGGTAAGTGAAGGATAAATACAGATCAGTCTGCGTAATTTTCTAATTCAGAACGGAATGAAGCTTACATACTGCCAGAGATTTAAATATTTCTGGAATAAACTGGGCTACAATCGAGGCAGGAAAAATCCTCACACACGCGCCCTGAGCTGCCTTGTTTTTCATGTTCTGCCCTATCTCGGTTTGCCTTTCAAATCATCAAATATCTTGTTGTTTTCCTCATTTTAGGCTTATTCTAAACCACTTGCTGACAACCTTTCAGCTTCAAAGTAATTTACTATAATTGTCCAAACTTTCTTCTTTTTGCATCATTTTTTCTGTCTCTCTTATTCCCTCAATCGATACCTTAGATCATGCCGGGTCTTACGAGTAGGTCAGCCACTCAGTCGACGTCGGCGCGCGTCACCAGCAATAAGACTACGAATATTTTGTCCTAACCCGCAATCTTGAGTGACGTTGGAGAGGTTAGGGTTGAGCCAGAGGGCGTACGTGACGTACGCAGCGTACGCTCGGTATATTTCATCATAGGAGCGAACGCGGCGTACGCTGCGTACGCCGCGTAGTCTGGCCCAACCCTTAGGAAGAATGAAGATTTCAGCAATATCTGAAATTGTAGAGTCTGTTTCGAAGAGGAAAATGGATCCTCTCATTGAGAAAATTTTGGGCTGAGTCAAATATGACACCTAATGTTGAAACTCCAGAAGCATTGTGATGGCAGGTCTGCAGGAATCAAAGCCGGGAAAATCAAGATTGGAAGAATAGTTGATCTGGAGAGGAGTCGTCAACGTCCTGGAAATCTTGTGAGATTGGTGGCCGTCTGAAATGTATCGGATGGGTCAGTTTCATGAAAGAAGATCGCGTTTCGTTAAAATTGTCCTCCTCATGAGCTCACTAAATCCAGGTCCTAAGTAACGGTCATCCTACGCAGTCCACCCTTGCTAACATCTTCATTAGGATTATAACTGCCTCAGAATAAGCTCAGGAATATGATCTACGACGACAAGCGCGTGAAAGGAATAGGGGGCGGTCAACGAATGGGTAGTATATGGGGCAGAGAGTTGCATTGTATTTCTGACCTACCAGAATGGCGCTTCTTGGAAAACGCTTGAGTTCTTCTGATCATCTCCGTTGTTTACTATCCAGCTCTCGGATAGTGAACAAACTGCACCTTTTGCATGCTTCTTATTTTTTTCATTCTCGTGATCTACTGTGCATCACAGAAACTTGGCTAGACTCTACGGTCAAGAATTTCGAAGTACCTCTGACCTACCATACTCATTCCATCGCATGGATAGGTTTCGCGGGAGAGGTGGAGGTATCCCTCGTTAGTTGAAGAAGATTTTGCGGCGGAGCCGGTAACTTTTGTAAACAACCTCTTATCCGACATTTTCCGACTGACTATTTTATCGCCCTCTTTCTTCTCACCTCTGCGAGTTGTCTTGTCTGCCGTCCTCCTTCGCTTACTTGCACAAATGATGCCAGCTCACTGACGCTTTACACGATCATGCTCGCATCCTTGTAGCACCGTTGCCGTGGTGGTTTTAACATCATGTATCGTCCCCACCTCACTTCCGCGTTTCTCCATTCTACTCTTCCTCGTAATCCCGTCCAACATGAAATTTCCTACCAGAGAAAATTCCGCTATTGACCTCGTTTTTTTCTTCCAGTGTTAAAGTCATGAACTCAAAGCTACTGCACCTTTGGTACCTCAGATTACAACATTATACGTTTTGATACTGTATTCAACTCTCCGTGTACTATACAACGCTTATTCCAAGTACAGTAAGGCTCTTTCGACAATATCGAGCTATCTCGGACACTGAGGGACGAATTGTGTGGAGAGTTATCGACATTGTTTGACATGTAAGGGATGATACTCTAGGCGAGCAAAGAGCACGGACAACAAAAACGTTTATTAGAAACAAAAAAACGAAACAAAAGGACGCCACCGGTCCGTGGCGTCGAAACAACCAACAATCCACAAAAATGAGATCTGGCCTGCGGCCATGCCGATTGATTGCGCGCTTTCGATCGCCTGTGATCTACATCGGTCTTCGTTTTGGTGGCCATGGGCCTGACCCGCCCTCCCCGCCTGGAGACATCGTCCTCGATGTTCTGATGCGTGGTCTGTACACGTCCAGTTCGGGCAAATGAGCATCCACTGCTCGCACTCTAACACATTCGTAGATATATTTATTCATGGCGGTTCCCACATGACTGTTGAAGAACTGCGCGCCTCCTTCTGGGGCTCCTGCCTCTACTATTACCCAGGCTTTGTATGTGCTCCATTCTTCTAATACGTCGAGCAGTCTAGCGAACGTCGTTGCTACTCTTGTAGCCACTCTTCCTCGAATGCCATCTCTTTCCATGGGGCTGCTTCCTCCCTCAAAAGTGGCGTATCCAACCGGTCCCGACTTGGTGGGTAACTCCTTCATGGAATGCCTGCAATGCTTCGTTAGGACCTCTCAATGGAATACCCTTCGATCTTGGCGTGCTTCGTAATCGTATCTGTGTTGCAAAGAAAGTCCGTCCAGTCGATGCAGGTATCGTATGCGAGCTTCAAGACAGCTTTCAGGGCTTCCGCATCGAAACATACGCGTCACTCTCGATGAAACTTGATTTTCGTTCCCATATCGATGTCCCTTCGGCTGAAGATACTGCAAGCTAGCAAAGCGGACCATAGATTGTCGATGCGTTCTTTTGCTACTGCACTCAGGAAGCTTATTCCTTCGATATCTCCAAGCTTTCGATCCTTAAAACAGTCGTCTCCGCATTTGAAGAGCAGATGTCCCTTTTCAAGTGGGCTCAGCAGCGATGCACCTCTGAAATTAATAACTTTGACTTTGCATACCTTACTCAATGAAATTCTTCTTTTTCTACCCCTTTTCCCTCTCACTGTCTGAGTGTCGACTCTGTCATTAGGTATGTAACTTGGGATTACTTTTAGCTTATCGAACTGTATTCGTATAGGATCCGTATTCTCCCTATGCGCGCTATTAGGGATGAATTATTGCTAGTATCCAGGACTCTAAATGGACCAGCCCAGTCCGAAATAAGTTTTGGATGAGTGCTTTTGCCTTTCTCACTTGGTGCCAGGGCGTATACCCGGTCTCCTACTTTAGGATGCCGGCCTGGGTCCACCTTATGTTTGTTGTCATAACTTCTTTTCATGCTTTCTCTAACTCTATCATTGTAACCTTTTACTCTTTCCCGTACTTCCGAAATGGACAGCAGTAAGTCTGTTCTGTACTCGTCTATAGGGCTATCAATCTGATACTGTAACTTTCGCGATTCCGGCAGAACATCCGTTGGAGCATTTGGATCCCTTCCATGCAGAATGAAATAGGGGCTCTCTCCTGTGGCAGCGTGTGGTGTCATATTATACGCCATCATGCAGAAGGGTAAACGCGCGTCCCACTCTGTTGGAATGGCTGTTGTCTTACGCAGCATTGCCAGAATTGTCCCATTGAGACGTTCGGTAACCCCATTTTCTCTTGGGTTATATCCTTTAGTCATCGAATGCTTGATTTTGGCCATAGCAGTGATTTCCTCCATAACCTTGTTCTCAAACTCTCCACCTCTGTCGGACAGTATGGTTTCCGGCCAACGGCATCCTTCAGCGATCCATCGAATGAAGAGTGTATTTGCCACTGTTTTAGCAGATTTATCCGGAACAGGATAAGCTGCTGCATACTTCGAAAAGACGTCTATAACCGTGACTGCATAGCGGTTCCCTGACGAAGTCAGTCCCAACTCTAGGATGTCGACGCCAATTATTTCGTATGGACGTCCAGTGACCAGGGTTTGAGCGGGGGTGTTATGGCTTCTTGATTTATTTATTTATTTATTTATTTACGTAAATAGTCGATTCCAAAAAAGATGGTTGTGTATAAAGCATGTGTGGCACTCTTTGCCCATTTTTGTATATCCTGGGCCATACCCGGCCAAAATACGCGTTTCCTGAACATATTGAGCATCTTGCTTGCGTTGAAGTGGCCCGAAATTTGTCCTCCATGCAATTCGTGGAATACTGCGTAACACGCGGTTTTTGGAACTACATACACCGCATTCCCATTTTCCGTGTATAGCATCAGTTCTCCATTTTCTATAGCAAAGTCCGCGACTCGCAAAGGACGAGTCAGTCCTGGTAGCTTCACTACTCCTTGCACTTCTTCCTTCTCCAGAATCTCGATAATTTTGCTGAAGTCACTATTTTGTCTCAGCTACTTCATCCATTTGCTATCCTCTTTCGCCTGTATCACGTTTACAACGGCGTCATTCGTGCCTTCTAATGACTCTGACATTTGCGCTGCCCCTCTACTCAGGGCGTCAGCTACAATGTTCGCCTTACCTTTCACGTACTTCACGTGTAGGTCGTACCTTTGTAGTTTTAAGGACCATCTTAATACACGTCCGAGACGTTGTTCCTCTCGAATAATGCCGTTAGAGGTTGGTGATCCGTCATCACCGTTGTGGGCAGCCCATAGATGAACATGTGAAACTTTCTTACAGCAAACTACTGCCAGACCCTCCAAGTCTGTAATATGGTACTTTTTTCCGCCCTGCTCAGGCTTTTCGATGCAAAGTATATGGGGTGGAGAAAACGTCGTCTCCCTGCTGAAACAGTACTGCTCCCAAAGTGAGGTTGAGGCATCCGTGAATATTACAAACGGCTTCTCTTTTGTCCTGGCTGCTTCAAGATTTGGCTGTGTAAGCACCTGTGTTGAAGAAACCATATCCTTTAACTCCTGGAACGCCTTATTGTGCCTTTCCTCCCAATTCCATTGCCTCTTGCTCGAAGTTATCTCAAAAAGACTACTGGCTCTTTGAGAAGTTCAGGCAAAATTTTCTATAGTATGAAGCCATTCCCAAAAATGTTCGCAATTCCTTCACACTGGATGGTCTTGGATAGTCCTGGATTGCCCTCACTTTATCAGGGTCGGTGTGGATGCCTTCTTTGTCAATAATATGCCCTAAGAAGGAAACCTTGTTTCTGAGGGTTTCTGAGGAGGAAGCATTTCTGGGCTTTCAATTTCATCCCTGCTTTTCGCATTCTTTGGCAGATATGCCTCAAAGTTTTAATGTGTTCTGCCTTAGTTCGACTGCTGATAATGATGTCATCGATGTAGCAGAAAACATCGGATCCCAGCAGTCCTTCCAGTAGCGTGTCCATGAGCCTCTGAAAGACCGCAGGGCTCGTGCTTAGGCCGAAAGGTGTCACTCTGAACTGGAGAAGTCCCTCTGATGTACGCTGATTTTTCCTTTGCTGAGTCTGTTAGCGGGATCTGCCAGTATCCGCTGCACAAGTCCAGCGTAGAAAATAGCTTCCTTCCTGCCAAACTCTGAAGGATGGTATCCATAGTTGGAAGTGGGTAGGAGTCCTGTTTGATTCTCTTGTTAAGCTCCCTATAATCCACACACAATCGCAGTGAACCATCATTCTTTTCAACCAACACGATTGGGAATGCCCAATCCGACCTGTTTTTTTCAATGATTTCCCTCTTTTCTAAGTCCTTCAGCAAGTTCCTTAGCCTAGGTCTGACGCTTAATGGTACTGGTCGCGTTTTGAGCTTCACTGGGCTGCTTTCGTCCGTGTCGATGTCCATTTCCGCTATGGTAGTCTGCGTTAACTCATTATCGTGCACGGCGAATACATCACTGTAGTCATCCAGTAGATGTTCGATTTCCCCATCCATTGTTCTGTCCTCGGCATTTTCTTTCACTAGCTCATGCAGTAGCCTTTTCTTCTCCTGTGCCTCCATATGGTACTCACTTGGGGCGATTACCAATGGACTCAAATCGTCCAGCTTTTCTCTCCATCTCGCTACCCCAGTGCCGAATCTCTTCACTTTCCTTGAGTATCATTGGCGTGTCTTTGTCATTCTTTACCGGTACTACAGCTTCGTTTCCGGAAATTGCCATGAGACCGCTTTCAACTCCTGGTTTTTGTGACCAGAAAACACCCTATCCTCATCGTCGGTTGTGGCGGTTTCACACCTTACTACCACTCTTCCTTCGGCATGCGGTGGTACATACGTTCTTCTTACTATTCTTGCTATATCCTTGACGTGCTCATTGGGTCTGTCTCGAGGTTTGCCCGATATTGACAGTGTCACCCCCAGCTTCTCCAGCGTGTTCATTCCCAGTATGATGTCTTCCTCGTCTTGATCCGTTATATGAAACAAGACCTCATTTTGCAGTCCTCCTTCTAGGTGCACCGGAATGCAGACACCTCCCAGCATACGCATTTGGTTGTTTGAAGCATCGTACACTGGTCGCAGGTCTTTGACTCGTACGGTTTGTAGGGCATCCACGTCATATGCTCGCTTTTGTGCTTCTCTTAGCATCCCAGCTGATATGAGACTAATCATGGAGCCTGTGTCCAGGAGCGCCAGTTTGCGCATATTCATTATCCTTACTTCCCGTATGATTGGTTGTCCTGTCCGTTTAGTGTCCGTTCCTGTGCTTTCACTGATGCCGACTGTGCAGCTTCTTGTGTGATTATGATCTCGGATAGGTTATTCCCATGCGGGGGTTGCGCAACTCTTCCCCTCTTCTGTTTTCTTGGGCAATCTCTTGCAAAATGCCCTGTTTGGAGGCTTTGGATGCAGTTAAAGCATCTGGGATCCTTCCTTTGTTTCAAGGTCCCTGCATGCGCGTTCCCTTCTTCTGCGGTTTGCCTTCTCCTGCCTTGTTGTGTGTACTGGACGCCCGAAGTGCTTGGTTGCCTCTCTACCTTTACGGCGTCGTAATTTACTGTCCTATGCACTTGTGCTTCTTTCCAGCCACCCGTTTTATTCTAACCGGTGCGCGGCTTCCTTTTCCAAATCTCTTTTGCTCTCTGTATACTAATCGCCAGTTGCTTCACTTCGTTGTATGCTTCCCTAGCCGGTACCCTATGTAACGCCGCTACCAACTGAACGTATTCGGGCCACTCCCTTAAGTTATCCAGAAGGATCTCGGCGTACTCCACCGAGCTTTCTTCCATGGCTCTGTCTGAACGAGCCGATCTACCTATCTTCTCCGAGGCAACGCAGAATTCTGCGACATCTTGGTGTGGTCTGATCCTGAGGGACCTTAGCTCAGCCATGGCCCTCATCCTACTAGCTACCGAATCCCCTGCTAGCATTTTTCCCAATTCTTCAACCACTTCGTCAAACCCCTTATTTCTTATTGTGGGTGCTAATGTCCTCATTACATTCTTTGCCTGCCCACCCAAGTGATTATCCCTTAGTATATCTACAAGGGTGTCTGTGTCTGAGATTACTTTAGAATACTTTTTTTTAAATTTTTTAACAAATTCCCCGAAATTTTCGTTGGGCTTCCCATAAAAAACACCCGGATCCGGAAAGAGAGGGATTCCACATAATTTGGAAATCGCAGATCATTTTGCTGACCTCTTAGTTCCACGTCCCTGTCCCTTGAATGCGAACTGGGTAATACCGACACACAGTTGTTCAAGTTTTGTTTGCACTGCGCTCCAATCCGCCTTAGATTTGGATTGTGCTGCTGGGGCTGTAACGTATCTCTTTGATAATCCGTCCTCTCTATGCCTACTGCAGTTTGCCTTGACTCACCTTGCTTGACTTTTTCTACTTCACCTCCCTTCTTTTTGAAGTCTTGGATGGCTGCCGGCACCTGAAGTACATCAGTATTTAGCATATTGCATGTTTGTGCCAGAATCTCCCTGTTTCTCTCAGCCACCCTTACAAACTCTCTCCAATCCTCAACTGATTGTATACTTAATGTTTTCATGGCTTCGGACATATCGTCCCGTTCATCCTCTAAACTACGGCACTGTTCTGCTACTTCATTGAGTTCCTCGCTCAACTCTCTCACTTTCTCCCTTATGAACCCCTCGTATTTTTCCTTGTACCTGGCTGAAATTTTGTGCTCTGTCATCACACTTGCTATCTCCCCAGGTACCCTTTCTCAATCTTTTCTTAGCCTCTCAATCCTTCTCTCTGTGCTATCTCTCGCATAGAAACCTACGTTTTCTGTGTCCATGTGCTCCTCCGATGGCTGAGCTCCTTTGCTCGCTTCCATGCCCTTTCTGCAAAACTACTTTAGTTGGTTTTCTTCACCAAAATCAACGACAAATTCGGCGTTCGCCCTTACGTGCGGCGAAAATTACTAAACTGCAGAAAGCGGCTTGGCCCCCATGTAAGGGATGATACCGTAGGCGAGCAAAGAGCACGGACAACAAAAACGTTTATTAGAAAACAAAAAAACAAAAACAAAAGGACGCCACCGCTCCGTGGCGTCGAAACAACCAACAATCGGGGGGCACGCGGAAGGCGACAATCGGCGAAAAATGGAGGTTGTGTATCATCCGTCTCAATGATTTTCAAGGATTTCTACTTGTGGCATTGAGTAATGTATCTGCCCCCACCCCCCACCCCCCTAGTCCCCCGGGGTGTCACTTTGACACCGGAGAGTTTTTGATAGGCACAAAATTGGGGATTGTCGCCTTCCGCACCACACCCCCAACAATCCACAAAAATGAGATCTGGCCTGCGGCCCCGCCGATTGATTGCGCGCGTTCGATCGCCTGTGATCTACATCGGTCTTCGTTTTGGTGGCCATGGGCCTGAAAGACAGCAATTCTGTAAAATCTTGTACCAGGTTTTAGTTAATTACGTGCCACTTCGCTTTACTTACTCAAAGGCAAGGACATACCCTGCCCGTATCCAAAACTTTATAGATCAAAAAAAGCTATTTTTCAGGTGCCTAACCCACTACAAAGCAATCATTTAGAAAAGTTTGCAAGGACATCGATCAACTGCCACATGAAAAATTTTTTGACCAATCGAGAGGGCGTCATTCCAAACAGAATGTCAAAGAGCTCTGTAGATATCTCTCCTATCAAAGTAAAGAGCCGACAAATGTCACATTCTTTTTTCGATCAAAGTGACTTCCTTATCACTAGTGATAAAGAAGAGGAGAAGCGTTAGGGAATTATTTTGCGAGTTTTTTTCCAGACAAAAACTCTACTAGTGGGTATCCCCACCATCACATCTCAGCTGATTCCTCAAGTATCTGCCACATGTTTTTACCAATTCTCCATATATGGTCTACTGCATTTTGCATAAACTGAAGCCGGCAAGCAGCGCTTCTTACAATGGGATTCCCCAAATTGTCGAAAGTGTGCAAGTGCTCTGTGTTATTCGCTCCCACTATCTTTAACGCCTCCTTGCAACAAGGCAAATTACTTAGCTTATGGAAAGAAGCACTAATAACTTCTACACCGTGCGATTTAACGAAGTGCGCAGTTCCCGATTTTCGACAAAACAGTACTGTTCCATCTGGCAAAATTCTAGAACAAATTATCAAAGACAAGTTTCTCGACTGGCTGGAAATATACAACATTACTTCTGAGGTTCAACACAGTTTCTTATAAGTTGGATCAAATACTGCCCTTTATGATTCAGTTTTTGACTGGATTACGGCTCTAAACGCTGGGAAATCCATTGACGTCAGGGTTTGATCTTTCAAAAGCCTTCGACAGAGTAGGTCATCGCAAGCTGCTTTTCAATGCTGGAAAGTACGGTGTTAGAAGTCAGCTTTTCTACTGCTTTGCTTCCTATTTGCAGTGCAGAGGCATGACAGTTCGCTTAGGAAATAGTTACTACAGCCTTCCGCCGCTTCTCTTCCTTATCTATGCAGCAAAGTTACCTGTCCACCTGAAAACACATCCCGATATCAAAATTTAAATGTTTGCTGATGACAATAAAACTTGATCTTGTTACGGGAATTGGGAACAAGATGTGGCATATAGAGCAATTTCCTCTTCTAAGGAAGACATTTCGTGTTCATTTGTATGGAATATTTCAGTAAATGCTATGACATTCAAGATGGTGCAACTGGAAAACTCCCACTGTCATCCTATCTATATGATAGACTTCCACTCAAACAGTGTGGTACTACAAAAGATCTCGGCATATTAGTAAATAACCATTTAGGCTCTCACAGCATTATGCGTCAGCTACTGAGAAGCTTTATTTACCCTCTTTCTGATTTTACGCAATATTTACTGTAACTAGCCGAAGCTTCTGGTCAGCTTTACAAACCCTATTGCCAAATTTAGAGTATGCTTTACCGGCTTGGAATCTTTTTTGAAAAGAAGATGTTGATTTGCTCGAAAAAGTATAATGGACTTTCACCAGAATAATTTACTACCAATGTTTTTCGAACTCAGTTACCATGTCAAAAACTTTTTCTGAAGAATCAGGTTGTTTTCGTTTCCCTCGCCATTTTGGGCACCATTCGAAAGAGCAAAGCAGGCTATAAAAAATGGCTTTTGAAGATTCACCCAAGTCATAAGAGGCAGATAAGGTTTGGAGCCAAAAACTAATTTTTCAACCTAATCGGACCTTTCAGCAATTCCTACGGGCCTCCAACTTGATCACACAGCAAACATGAACTATTCATAAAGACATTGCTGGCCCAAATTGGGAAACAAAAATAGCCCCATGAGATGTGATTTTTTCGGTTTTCTTAAGGCATTCCTCCAATAGTGCAAACTGCGGTGCAGGCGTTAGGATCAGCCGCCTTGCAAAACTTTCCATTCGTTCTCATTGAAAAGAGAGGTAGATGGCACTATAACGGTTCTAATTATCAACAGGAACTCTCGCAAGCTACTATTTCATAACATTACTAATCTTTTGTGGTATAGACGATAAGTAATTGAGGGTGGAAGCTACTGGCTTAGCTAATGTGGTTGATTCAAAAGTATTGCCGCGCGTCATTCTTGAAAAATCATGACTTACTCTCTCAGCGGATTTGCACAAACTTGAATTTGTTAGATAGAAAAACCTTTTTCTTTTGGAGGTACCTATGCCTCTTCCTTTCTCCAATAAAGGGTAACTTGAAAGAAAGCAGGAAAATAAAACAGCTTCATCTTTTCTTTGAGTTTAGGCTGCTAGGAACCTGAAACTTGCGGCAAAAGCCCCAACAAGCGGTATTGCTTAGTGTTGTGTGCTTCTTTCCCAAAGTAACTCCTCGTAAAGGACATTTAATCAAATTTTGCGTTGAAAAGGGTGATCAAAAGAATTACTATATTGCTTGTTGGGAAATTTATCGAGTTTCAGGTTTTCAGGAGCTTGACTCAAAAAGAACGAAGATGAAGTGATTTTATTCTCCTGTTTTCATCTCAAAAGTTACCCCTTACTAAGAAGCGGCGAACACTAGTTCCAAAGAAGAAGAAGGCTTACTCTATCTGGCATGGGCGAGCAGGCTGGGGCTTGTAAAGTGGATATTGACCGTACCTGAGAGAGCACAAACAGAAAGCAATTTTTGTGCGATTGCGTTGAATCGGCCTGAATTGGTATCACAACCCCTTTAATGCTGAAGCCTTCCAAAAAAATGGCATCACAAACACCTCAATAGAAGGCAGAAGCTTTTAATCCATTGACGACGACGCCTAATTTTGCGTGGAGGCGCTGTGGGACGACGCGATTTCGCACAACAATTGCGGCGCGGGAAAGCTTTGTGATTATTTACGAAGTGTAAAAATGTTTTGTAAACAACTACAGCCATTTTCTTGGACGACGAAGTCTAAGGTTCCAAGAGTGCAAAAAACTGGAAAAATTGATGAATTCTGAAAAAATACTAGACCTGGAAAGAATATGATTTCGCAAGGTGTGTGGGCCACCGGTGGTCCGTCGTCAATGGGTTAACAGGGTTGCTCTGGAAGATAAGGCACGTCGCAGATTCTCATTCTACCTCTCGCCTTCAAAGACTCACAGGACGAAAACAAAAATGTTTATGTGTTGTCTACGGCTCCTCACATCGGTCCGTGCATGAAACCGTGCATGACTCGGTTTATTTGTGGAGGCGACGGAGCTCAACTCACGATTAAACCCTCACTGACACCCGAAAGACCGCGCAAACAACTTGGACTGGTCATCACACCCATTCATATCGTTTCTAAGAAACACTTCATATGTCATTACGTGATAATGACATGGTTGGACTCTTGGTGAAGGTGTTAGAGATTTCAGTCCAGCAAGCCCTAAAAGGAGTAAAGCTTCTTTTCAATAGTATCACAGAGTAATCATTTATTTATTGTAACGTTTATATTGAAATGTTGCTTTTGTGGAGTTCCTAAAGCTCTCTGCGACAAAGTTCCGTAATTTTTCTACACACTCTTATTTTTTCCCTCGTTACTGGAACTCTATGATTTTAAAAATAGTAATTTAAAATGTCTCGTCGTCGTCGCATACTAGGATACTAGGATGGTTACTTAAGAAGTAAGATTTGGTATGGAATGTGCGAAATCGTACTAGAAATTTATGAGCTTTGTGCTGGAATTTCGTCGGCAAATTACAAAATAACTTACCTTTTTTTGCTATGTAAAACTACCAAAATGGAGCAATTTCAGATTTCTTGCTCTTATGCTACTGTTGTCTTCGACAAAGCTAGGAAAATTAGGGTTTGTGAGTCTTAAGTCTTACCATGTTGCAGTAGAACTTGTGCTTTCTTGAAGTAAATATTCGTGAAACTTTCCAAACACATTTCATCAGGTTTTACTCACGTTATTTATTTAGCGTTTGAGTACTTGATATGTCCAGAACAACTCAGTGAGAGTGAACCTGCGCGAAACTCAAAGTAATATATCAAGCATGCGTTGCTTATGAGTCAGTCGAAATAACGATTTTATGAAAGAACAAACGTTCTGAGCATTCCCGAAATTTGGGAGAATTTTTGGCGCAAAACTATCAATCAAGCCTGATAGACTCAACTTCTATCCAAATCAGAATCGAACGGCATTTTTGAGCTCATCTACCGCTTTTCATGAGTTTGCTTCGTTTACATCTCCAAAGACCTACTGCTTTCCTTCACGTCCTTCCAAAGGAACAGACTCCCAAAAAATCTGCTATCGCACGGAAGTTGCGCAAAATCTTGAGCGCTCGGTCAGCTATGAATCCGAATGCTTGACGTTCGATTGCGAGCAAACACATCCAAGGTATGCTGGAAACAATGAGACAATGACAAAGATGGCTCACGCAGCTCGGCGGCCACTTCAAATCATCCCTTCAATAGACAGCTCAGCACAAGATCGGTATCTGCCTTATTTAGATAAGCTTCGTTTTTTTCCTGTGGTAGAGTCCTGCAAAGTGATCCTTTTTCCTGTAAAATCCTTCCAAGTTGTCGGAAGGGGGCTCGAGAACTAATTTTTATGTCTGTATCTTCCAATGGTTCCTACCAAAAATTGCGCATACGATTCTCCTTGCTCTCCCACCTCTCCACCTCTTCCCCCACCTTTGTTGAATTGTTTGTGAAGTAATGCACAAAAATCTCTACTCCAAGCACCAAGCTCTATTGTCCATGCGCCTCGTTTGTGTTGTTAAGCTCGAATTTCGCAGTTTGTCAGCTTGCTTAGCAGTTTTGGGCTCAACAGACCGGAGCCGCTTCGGCCGCCAAAGAGCTTTGGGAAACTCTTGAAGCTTCGCAATTCTCTAACTTTTAGAGACAATTACTATAGGGTAATCATTATCTTTGAGGTCTAAATTTCAATTCAAAAAGCAAGCAGAAATGTACCGATTTTGGATCTATTTTTGAACAGTCTCTTCTCGTCTGAATTTCTTCCAGTTATCTAGAATACCATTTCTTAACGCTTTCCTTTGCTTTGATTATTCGTTGGTCTCCAATATATTTTATCCATTCAATCTAAATCTAAGCGATCATACAGTTGAGTTAATAGAAGACTGTTCCTTCTGCGCATAAGCGCTTCAAATCTCTTATAGAACATAACAGTATAAGAATAAGCCCTAATGAAAACGTTGGGTCATTCATGTTAGGAAAAATCTTGGGAAATTAAAGCACTTAGAACAACGAGTATATCTGAGTGAGAGCTCAGCAATGTAATAACTTCGAGTAGGTTTCGCATTAGATGTGCTGAACATTTTTTGTTGTATGAAAAATTTGAATCCCCAATGTTTTTATACATATTTTGAAGGTATATCTCTCTACAGCATCTCAGCTGCCTATAAACAAGGAGTAGTTAAAAAAATCAGACAGCAAGATTTCCATCGTTTTCCCCTTCATTTGCTGCTGTTTCGATTTATCGATAGTTAATGCTAGGAAAAATTTGACATTTTATTCTGTTTACCACTGAGGAATGTATAGGAAAGCAAGCACAGCGCTATTTCAGTCATAGTTCAGAAGTGTTTACGGTGACCGCACGATATACCTCTCCTACTATTCTTCACTTTTAGTTCAAGTTGAATTTCTGCAAACTTGGGAAACCCTTTGTTGTCACGGCCTATTTGCTCTGTATCTAAAACACTTTTATTTTTCATATCATATCTCCTTTTTCGTATTAACGTTCTCCTTTTACATGTACTATAAGCTGAATGTTCTTGGAAATTTTTTTGTTTTTTTTTTCATCTTTGCAAGGAGCTATCATATTACGAACTGTAACATCTACACTTCTCACTTTAGCCACATTGAGTGTTTCCGTCAAGTGAAGTGCTCTCAAAGGTGTCATTTTATCACTTGAGTGCGAACTGACCTCTTGACACCTCACGCGCATCATTTCAGCTAGCTGTGAGAGGAATCGGTTGCATTTTCCATTTGAGCGTTTTTTCCTACCTTTTTGTGTTTTGGTGGTTTTCAATAATTTCATCAAAAGCCCTTCTCGCTATATAAAAGTTGCGACTATCCACATCACCTCCAATTTCTTCCGACTCTCAAAACTGTGACTTCTCTCTCTTACACATAATAAGTTTCCTTCTAGGACCTCTTGTCGTTCACCACTCAGTGTAGGAGTAGACCAAGAACATATAGAGCTGATAGAGGATAGGGTCCATATAATGCTACTCCTGACCGTTGGGTCACTGATCGCTGCTGCTTTTGGTTAGTTTTGTTCAATTTCAAGGGTTTGGAATATTGATTTTATTGAATGTCTAATATGTAGTGCTATTTTGGTGATTTCATCTTTATCTTTAACTTTATCTTTACACTCTAGATGTACTATTTAAACTATGAAATACTCTTAGTGTCGGGCTAGCCTAACAAGAACAACATTTTACTTATTACTTATTTGTTTACTTATCCTGCTACAGTTATGATTCACGTGGTCATTATACATTTATGGCTCATTTCAAAGATATTAGGTTGGTCCGAAAGTTCTGTCCCACCATTTTCAAAAAATCGTAACTTCTTCCTAACACAATGTTCTTGCAAGGATAAAACCACATTGAAAACAGCAACTCATGCACTTTCTAAAGCTACCTTGGCTACTCTCTACAACGCTCTGAAAGCAGAGATAAAATTGGGAAAACGAAACCACTTCGAGTTCCGAATTTTTAAGCAAGCCCGTTAAAAAATCTAGAACTGTGCCATAAAATCCAAAACAGCCAGTATCCTAGACTATTTTAACCCCTCTTTCTGGCTGAGCAAAGTTCGCGCTGATTTAGCTGTTTTCCGAAAAGTTATGATTTTTTGAAAAAATGTCAAAAAATAAATTTTCTTAAGAAACTGATTTTTTGGCATTTTTTCCTGAAAATCATAACTTCTTTCAAAAGGGCTCAATCAGCGCGAATCTTGCTCAGCTGGAAAAAGGGGATCAAAAAACCTAGGATACTGCCAGTTTTGGATTTTATGGCACACTTTTGGATTTTTTAACGGGCTTGCTTAAAAATTCCGAAATTGAAGTGATTTCCTTTTTCCAATTTTTTCTCTGCATTCAAAGCTTAGTGAACAGCAGCCAAGGTAATTTTAGAAAGCGCACGAATTGCTGTTTTTAATATGGTTTTACTCTTGTAAAAACATTGTGTTAGGAAGAGGTTACGATTTTTTGAAAATGGTGGGACAGAACTTTCCGACCAACCTAATATTTTTACGCACTTTAGGGTCGTGATCATGACTAATTTGAGGCATGACCAATGTAAGCGAATCTGTCGCATTACTATTGGTGCAAATGCCGATATTTTACTTTTCTACCTTATGCGAGGCGACACACATGTAGTTTAGAGTAAATGAATTGTTATTATTTTTTACCCGCTTGCTTCGAAAAATATTAATGTCTCAACAAAACCTGGCCAGAAGTGCTGTCTTATAGATATGTAGGCTTGTGAAAATTAGAACTGGGAAATGAAAATTCCTCATCAATTGCAGGTTATTGAAAATGCTTATCTCAACATAAAACATTCTTTTTCAAATTTTTTTGCTAAGATTCTATAAATCAAAATAATTTGAAATCTTCTAGGTTCTCCACCCAAATTTTGCTCACTGGGCGATGCATGCGATTCGTGCACCATTTCAACTCCTCTCAGTGGCAAATGCGCCGATGACAATAAAAAGCATTTATTTCAATTTTGTAATCCACGAACAAAGTGAGGAACCTTGGATTATTTTGATTGTGGTTCATATTGTACATATATTTTTTCCTTCAGAAAAATCGACGTAGACCCATCATCCTATTTATTTTGTTCGGAAGGTGTGTATAGACAACAACAATGTTCCGACGATGGTCGAACACATTTTAGCGCTACTTCATTAGAATGTGTGGATCCAGCGCTGCTTACATTTCATGCTCAGGGAACTTCGGGTAATCTAGTCAGCTTGCTTCGCCAACTTGGAGAGTAAAGCTAGCAAGTTCCAGGTTCGGGACGAGTCGGTGACGTTTGTACTTTTAACACCGACTGCCTTGGTGGAATGTATTGTGCAGTGGGGCAATGCCGATGTCTGTCAACTTATATTGCAGTGGATTCATATTGTTATGAAAGTGAGTGTCCTGAATGCAGTCGCATTCTTTTGATTCACCTGGATTGGCGGCTGAAAGGCGGAGCTTCGTGACCTATTCAAAGCTAGAGAATGATCAAAAATCACGTTTACGAGAGAGACGCAGACTGCATCGCGGGCGCGAGCGGGCGCTTTCCAGCCGCCAATCTCATTAAATCAAAGGGTAGAAATAGTTAAATTCAGGAATTCCACCATCCGAGTCGGGATGTTTCTATGACGTCCAGTGCTCAGCGGTATGGCCAGATGCATACTGTAAGAGTGGGCAATGTCAATGCCCAAGCGATGATATGGTGGCTGTCAAGACAAGGTACAAAAATTCGATCTCATACGTAGCTATGGTAGTTCATCTTTGATTAGCAATCAATTATTTGCAATCTTCCTTTAGACTCCTCTCTTAAAGGAAAAAACTCTGCAAGGTTATTTGAGTCAAGTTACGGTAGCAGTAGGAAGCTGCTTCATATGTCTTCATACTTTGATTCTATTTTTGCAAAGTTTCTTAAAAATTGAAAAAATTCGAAGGGGAACATTATCATCGTAAGCTGACATTAACTTTGGATAACTTTGGACTGCATGCTAGTAGAGGGTATGCCCAAACTTGTATACCTACTGCTTGACTGTTAGTAACTTTCTTGTCGTCAAGTCATTTGAGCTTTAAGTACCATTTCGTAAAGCTGGCTTCAACTTAGAGTTACGATATACTGCGAACTCTAAAAATCAGTCTACATCACTAGTACGGTAAGAACTTTAGGAAGGTTTTTTGAGTTATTAAGGGTCAATATCTCATTTTTAAAAAAGACCAAAGAAGCTGGAAACTGCTACACAAGATTAATTAGAGTCGTTGGTTCCAAGTATGAAACTCGCACTTCACCGTAATGCTTTTTTCATAAGTTGTGCCAGATATACCACACAACCGTATTCTGCTATCCGTCAAAAATTTGACTAGGCCATTTAAAAGTTCTGCGAGCGCTTCAAAATGTGTGTACTACATGTAGCATGCATGAAAACGTTGTTCCACAATTTTTCAGATTTTTCTGGAGATTTTTTTTCAAACGGTTTTCCTTACATTGGCGCCATATTCTGCAAGTTTCTACCATACTCATACAGTAATCATCCTGATTTGCTCCATACTGTGAGGCTAAGTAGAAGCCAGCTCTAGTGAATGGTTCCTAAGGCTTTTGGAGATACTCCATTACAAGAGAGTTATAGACAAAGAACAATAGGCATATTTTTAGGGCACTTTGTATGTTATGTGTGAAGTCTTGGGTCTAGTTAGAATTAGTACTACTGCAAAAGTTTAGTTTTCTTGAAGCAAACCTCTTTAATTTTTTGGTGCAAAATTTCTGACTATTTTTGGTCTTGAATTTCCTCCCAACTTTTGTCTCTATAATGCAGAGTATACTGAAATAACAAGCTCTATGCCACTATATCTACCTATTCAGAATGTAAACTTCGCTTGATTATAAACTCCTCATAGCTTTGTAGATTTGTCATTTTGTTAAAAACACCAATTTAATTCAAACCCATGAACCGATGCTGATTTTCTCCAACAAATATGTCGAGAAGGAAATCCGCAGCTTTTGTTTTGAAAATTATCGGTATTTTAGCAACTGCCTATTCAGTAACTTCGTTTGAATAGATCTGAACTTCTGGTAGTACATGGCTGCAAAAGCAATTTCACCGAAAACCTTTTCTAACATTTACAGGGACGGAACACTTTGCCTTTGGACCAGCACCACAGAACCTTCCTGTCCGTTACCATCTTTACCTCCTCCTGATTCCGCGGCGGCATTGGTAGTTCTTCCAGCTCCATCGGGTAAGTGTTCCGTTGTGCGACTGTGCCAGTACGATAGCATGTTTTTAGCGAAGAACACAGTGAGCATCGCCTCCTGCGATCCAAATGCTTCCACACTTCCGTTGACAGAAGAAATGCTGTTGGAACATGCGCATGAGCATAAATGCGCAGTTAGAGGATCGGTAAGTTCAGTTTTCTCAGATACATACCTATTAAAGCGCGTCCCGAAAACATCGTTTTTGGAAGGGTAATAGTGCCAATCTCTATCTAGAAAGTAGCGACCGTCTCTGGAATCTTTTGGTGACAGCCACGCCTCTAAATAATTTTTTATGAGGTCCTTCTTATCTATTCAGATCAAACTTTATAAAAACTTTAGCTCAAAAGTGAAAAGGAGATAATTGCATAATTTCTCATTTATTATGATTCCAAAGTTTCGCTTCCCATTTTCGCGGCGGGGGCGGTAGTATTATTTTTCAACATTTGATTCAACTGGCTTGGCGGCTGGAAGGTGGGTTTTGTGACCTAATTAAGGCCGCCCGCGCCCGCGATGCAGTCTGCGTCTCTGCCGCGCGCGTGCTCTCTGATCATTATCTAGCCTCAACTAGGTCACGTAGCCCCGCCTTCCAGCCGCAGCTGAATTAAAAGGTAGATTACATTTTATTGTTCATCTTTTAGCTGGAAGAGCCCATACCCAAAGATGTCTCTGACCTTTACGACTGTATAGACAACAGCATGTTTTGGCAAGCGCAAGGTCTCGACGCCAGTCGTCACCCTATCGGAGTTTGTTGCATGAACAGAGGTAGGAAAAATTGCTCATGCAAAATGTTTCACTTACAAAAGTAACTTTCAGCGTTTACATGCCAACAACCAAAGAAAGGAGAATCTCATGGGCTTGGCTCTGTGCCAAGATGGTGGTACAACGGTGTTACTGGTTCTTGTCAACAGTTTCTCTTTGATCCACAAGCTGCAGAAGTCAGTCCGAATAATTTTGAAACGCTCAACCATTGCGAAAGCTACTGCAAAGACAGTAAGTGTTTATTTCTCATGAAATTCATTAAGGCTCTTAAGATTTGCAATTATAGCTTGCCCAAGAGGTAATCCTGCATATTTGAATTCAAAAACAGAGATAAATCAAAGTCCACATGGGGGATGCTCTCTTACCCAACCGTGTCCCGAACCTTTTCAATGCATGGAAGTGGCCAGTCAGAATCTTTGCTGTCCGAGCAGAAGTAGGTTCAACTAAAAGATCAATTTTTGGTTTTTGTAGAAGCATATGTCCACTTATTCCAGAAAGCGTATGCAGTGATGCCGGAGGGCGTGCTAAGAATCCTTTTCGAGGTACACCGTATGATCCGGGCATGCGATTTGATCAACTTACTGGTGTACAGGCAAACTATGCTATTGGGATTAGTACAAGGTGGGAATATTTCTTTGCATGCGATGCATGCAGCGGAGCTGCACCGACGCCTTTGAGTCGCGGCGCTGAGCGCGGCGCTGCAGATTATCGATTTTGCACCATAGGCGTCGGTGGACGCTCTGCAGGCGTGCGTGCACTTTGAACAGTTGCTAAGGAAGTGATTTGTACACAAGTACACCCAAAAAATATATTCAAGGTATTATTACAATCCGATCGATGGTCAATGTCACCCATTTACCTACAATGGTTTCCTTGGCAATTTCAACAATTTTCCAACGCAATCGGATTGCCAAATGTTTTGCTCAAGATGTAAGAAAATCAACATTTGATTTATTCATTTACTTATTTATGAATACACTCAAGGTGTGCCGTAAAGAAGAAAATGATGTTTTTTTCACAAAGTTTATAAAACACCTATTTCACCTAGACTGTGTTGAAATATGTAAAATCAATATATTGATTACCATCAAACTGGATTGATCCCACAACTCTCCAAGTTTTCCTTTTCAAGTGTAAAGGCTATTGCATGACGAAGGCGCAAAAGCATTATTAGTTGAGCGGGCGCGAAGCGATACGCGCGCGTATCTTCACCGTATGTAAATCCTGCGCCTGCACTCTGCGACTAATAAAGCCGCGTTCGCGCTTAAAGATATTGCGCCTTCGTCATGCAGCAGTCTATAATTAACCAGATGAGAGTTACAGTAATGTGAGATTACTGTACTTGTTACAGTACAATGTACGCACGGTAACCCGCTAACGAATGGTCATGGAGCGCCTCAACGCTGTCAAAGAGATAGTGAATGCCCAACTACACATATATGTGCCGCTGAACATGCGGTCTGCTGTCCGACACCGCGTAAGTTCTCGTTTTTTTGGAGCGGAGAAAGTGTGGTTGTGGGTAGGGGGGGGGGAAGAGAGGGTATACGAATTAGGTGGCTTTGTAGATTGAATGCAAAGGGAGTTAGAAAAGGGAAAATTGTTTTCAAAAGCTTCGTTCATTTGTCGTGACAAATACTTGCACTTTTTTCTCTCAAATCTACTATTTGACTGATGCATAATTCTTGCACCAAAATGTTAAAAATTGTGTTATTTCAACCAGTTTCAATGGAATCTTCTTGTTTGATACAAAGTAGAGAGAGCAAATCTTGCGCTTTCTGATGATGCTCAATTCAAAACTCTCCGAGGGCATACGGCAACGATATAAGATGAAAATGAGGAATATCTAAAAGTGGTTTTTCGATTTTTGGTAATCGAAATTGCTAAGACGTCTGTTAAAATTTAAATTCAATTTTCCCTTTAGTTTTATACATGTTCTTTTTAACTAACAATAAGAGAAGTTGATAGTGATTGGATGTCGCTGCAAACAGTTACGAATTTCGATTTTTTTGAATTGACTTATTGATTTTGTTTCTACCGATTTTCCAAAATGCACTGTAAAATACTATATATTTGTCGATTTATAAATACTATATAATACTAAACATAACAATGAGCACGTCCTGTAAGTTGATTAGTTCGTCTGAGCATTTCTAGAACCATTTTTTTCTATTTTCTGGTGCAAGAATCAAATACAAAAACGCTTCTCAATCCAAAGGGCAAAAAAAAACATCTCAAAATCACCGGGTATATTTACAGGGGAAAATCACCTCATTTACTTAATCTATAAAATAACTAGTGAGTCATGTAAATGTCTTGAAAAACTCAAATGCTGTAAAAAATCGAGCTACAGCATGAGAATCACTTTCTTTCCAGCAATAAAGTGCATTATCAATGAAATAAAACATCTGCGAACTCTACAGAAGATTAGCTAATTTTTAGGGGTATTTCATATTTTTGAGACGTCGCTCTTCTCTCGTATTCCATGATTTTTTTCTTTAATTCTAGAAACACTATGCACAGAGCCTTTACGAGTCGGAGATTGCAAGCAGTCTATTAGGCAATTTTGGTAAGATTTCTTCCGCAATTTGCGCCATTAAAATAAAAACCTAGGCTCTGCGTTTTGTTCAGAGTAACACGACTTTCCTTTTTTTAGGTACAATGCAGAAACTCGTAGTTGCGAGAGCTTTCTCTATACTGGATGTCAAGGCAACAATAATCGGTTCCATACTATAAACGAATGCCAGAGCCATTGCAAAAACATCAATGGTAGGTAGTGTTACTTGGAAAATCCAAATTAAATAATTAGCTCATTTTCAGCAGAACCAAAGTGCCCTCAGGGTAGGGCCTATATCGATTATAGTGGCAAATTTCTACAGTGTGGTGAAAACAATGGACGTAACTCATGCCCAGTGAATTACGAATGTCATTTTGATGGGCACGTGCATGGATGTTGCCCTAGTAAAGGTAAGTATAATGCTTTTCTCGAGAAAAGGTTACACTCTTCACAGAAATCTGTAAGATAAATTTTTTAGCTTTTACATGCTCACTGCAACTGAACAAAGGTGTCAGCTGTGGTTCCGGATCCAGCTACCGTTACTATTACAATACGCAGCTCAAGGTATTCAATTTATTGTGACAGAACTCTCATACTTTTGTGTTGTGTCTGCAAAAATTACTCCAAGGATGGTGTTTTGAAAACCAGAATAAACTTTATTATTCACGTTTTTATAAAATGTCGCGGCAATGTGAGTGAAAAAAGAAAGATGTATCGAACAGTCGTGCCTACTTTTTTTCTTAGTTCCTACTTCTTTCTTCTTCCTACTTCTCTCTATCTTTCTTTCTTATTTCTTTCTTGCTTCCTTCTTCCTTCTTCTTCAATACTTTTCGTTACCAAAAGAACTTTCCTCTGAATGGTTGTTTTGTGTCTTCTATTATTTGTTTGCTATCTATCTTTGTCTTTTTTTTACTGAAAAACTGGCGAGAATTTTTCACTTGCCCTCTTTGTCATTTCTTTGTACTCATCGTTCCCACAAAATTTCCACTTCTTTTCTCTGAGATACGACCAGCTAGCTTCCGAATGTTGGCTCGCTCGGGAAACACGCAATCTCATTTTCAAAAGACGTTAGGATCTTTAGTCAGGCGTTGATGTAATGTTTTTTTTTTCACCCAGAGTTATTTACAAAGATTATGCTAAAAGAATATAAAGTAAGGAGGAAAATTGCAAATCTGAAATCACATATTTGCAAAACCAGGAAATCCAGCAAAAATTTCTTAGGATCAAGTTTTTCCTTGCTAGAAATTTTACTTTGAATGTCATAATTTTTGGAAGTCCAATCAAAAATTTGCAACGTCGGCTCTGTCACAGTAGCACCATTTGCGCATCAGCGATTTTCTAATATGAGCAGTAAACTCGTTTATTTTCATTTTAGTAAGATATGACAGTAGCTTCCAATTTCAGGAATGTCAATCATTCCTCTTTCTTGGTTGCGACGGAAACTCGAACAACTTTGCATCCGCTGAAAAATGTCAAAGCTATTGCGAGATTGGTGGTATGAAATCACTTTTTTTCAATATTTTTTGGTTTTTTATTGCGTTGCAGGATGTCCAAATGGTGGACTACCATTGAGAATCAACTCTCTTGTGCAGTCTTGTTCCTCTACGGATCCGTGTCCGATAGGTTACGAATGCAGTCAAATCGATGGAACCGGTGTGGCACATAGGAGATGCTGTCCTACAAAAGGTAAGTACTGCTGTTTTACTTTTCCATCTTACAGGCAGCGTCCACCAACATCTCGTCTCCTATGTTTTTGCCATTCTGGGGCCTTTCCGTGGTCCTGATTACAGTTATGAAGTTCAAATTGTCCAAAACCCCCAAAAAACCCTATTCCTGGGAATCCTGTTTTGAGGACGCAGACGGGTTTCAGTACATATGTAGGAGGACGACCAGATAGGATCTGGGCGGGGCTTGATAAATCGTTCCCATCTCCATTCAGAAGCAACATTAGAAGACCTAACCAACGCAGATGGTCCTCTGGGGCCTACATTCAGGATCGGCACTAATCGGAGGGGTTAAAGTTAGCCTGAACCGCGCCTTTGAAAAGTCGCCTTAAGTGCAAAAAGAGAGAGTGCGCGTGAGGTGGTCTATGAAGGGAAACAAATGGTTGGTAAAATAAGTGGTAGTATAGTTGCAGTTAATTGCATTCGAATGAGATACATTCTGACATCATTCCTCGCGTTCCTTTCTTTCTCGTTCGCCCTTTTAGTCACCAGTAGTACTCCCGTCCCAAGTACAGCGATGCTGCATCAGTGGCGGTCCAAGGGTTTTTTTTCAACGGAGTGGGGCCACAGAAATTTCCTCGAATGAAAAGCGTGGTGTTAGCCACGCCCTTTTGGAAAAGTCTTAGTGCGCTCTTCTGATTTTTCGCAGAGCTCTAACTTCGAAAATCCACAAAAGAGGCGTCACAATGCTGAATCGAATTTTTGAAGAAATTTCAAAAGTGTCCTAATCATGTCAGAAGTAAAGGCATGTCGTACGATTTTGTAGCCCCTGTAGGCTATTTAAAAAGTCCAAAAATTAGCGACACAAAAAACATCTGGCTTGGGAAGCCACTCCCACTCATCTTGGGTTTCTGCCACTTATGGGATGTCGTTTTTGACATTCCCACTTCACGACGGACTTGAAGCTCTGAAAAATTTAGAAGCCTTCCTGAACCCAAAACAACGAAAGGCTTCATATGAACTTTTTTCCAGCTTCAATTTGCGCAAAACCACCGCAAATGGGTATGCTTCCTAAATGTGGTGCATCAACCGGGCAAACCAAGTAAGTTCAGGTCAATTTTTTGATTCAAGTGATTCTCATTACTGCAGGTATTATTTCAATTTTGCGCTGAAAACCTGCTCCCCTTATACGTCAAATGGTTGCGATACTTCTCTCAATTCCTTCAAGTCTATTATTGAGTGTGAAGATTTTTGCTTAAGTGCTGGTTGTAAGGCTGGCGATGCTGTTTATAAGGTAAGTCATTCATTTATTCTGACTTTCTAACAAATCATGTTCTGTTCAGGATCCAAATACCAATCGGCCTTTCCTGTGCAATACAGCTCTGCAAAATAATTGTCCAATAAATTATCAGTGTACTTTAAATAGTCTAACACAAGAGCATGTCTGTTGTGGCTCGGATAACATGGGTAAGTTCAATTTACTCCCTTTAATAAATCTAAGTTCTTAAGTTTGATACACAAGTCTTGCACCAAGAAATTTAGAAAATTCGTTTAAGGAAGAAGTCAAACTATTCAAGCGCATCATCTATTTTTTGTAACATACATCAAAAGTTGTACCTTTCCGTAAATATCAGAAAATTTTTCGTAGCAAAAATCTGAATAAAACCATACGCAGAAACGTCCCATTAGCACGAACTTCTCTCATATGGAATAGTGAAACTAAAAACAAACCTAAAATTCAGAATTGGTTAGACTCTCACTATTTTTGGGGCTTTCAAAACCTCTTTTCAACTCTCTTCTCAGCTTGTTTCATTGCGATATGGCAAGAACTCTTATCTTAGATACCTTTGAAATACGAACTTTTCGTTATCTAATATGTGTCAAAATGAAAGATTTTCTTGAAGTTAGGAAAGATATGAGTTTTCCAATATTTTGGTGCAAAAGTGATGTATCAACCTAATACAAAACCACTTAACCTTTGATTCAACTGGCTTGGCGGCTGGAAGGCGGGACTTTGTCATCTAATCAGAGGCATTGTTCAGGTCAACTGAGGGTAATAGCATTTTGACGCAGTGCAGGTGCACGGCTTCGACTAATGCAGCAGTCCGAGTCCAGTCGAAAAAGGTGGATTCTGAAGCGGGAAAACCGCTTCGAAAAAAAGGGGCGGTCTGCTAATCCCGCTTCCTTGACAAGTTTTAAGTGGTTAATACGTCAGATCTACAGCGTTCGCCATGTCAAAACTTGTCAAGGAGGCGGGATTAGTGGACCGCCCCTTTTTCCGAAGCGATTTTCTCTCTTAAGAATTCCTATTTTCCGATCGGACTTGAACAGTTGCATCAGTCAAGAGCTGTGCTCTCGCACCTTGTCAAGCCACCATCTATTACCACCAGTTCACCTGGACAATGTCTCTAAGGCCGCTCGCGCCCGCGACGCAGTCTGCGTCTCTCCCGCGCTCGTGCTCTCTGATCACCACCCAGCCTCAATTAGGTCACGAAGCACCGCATTCCAGCTGCCAAGCCTGTTGAATCAAAGGGTTGTAGCCTACTCTTGCTGTGATGAATTTGCAACTTTAACTAAATAAGAGACGTTTTGCTGGCAATAAGGGGGGGGGGGGGGGCATGGGTACCATCTCCATGATTACTCTAAATTCTGACAACTGTAATCTAGAGCAGTCGCATACAAGCTCAGTCAACATATAATTCTTAACCAATTTGGGAGTTTGGACCTAATCTTCATAATAGACTTTGATTGCGGTTGTAAGAGTAACTCGTGTTCTTTTTGTTCTTTTTGTAAGGAACGCCAAGAGCGTATTGAATAAATAAAAATAAAATAAATAAATTTTCGAATATTCCAGGTGTTTGTCCCGTTGGTGAAAAAGCTTTTGTCGAACCTCACACCCTGACTCCCCGTCAGTGCGCCATGGTGGCTGATGGAAAATGTCCTCCCGGCTATCTTTGTCGATTTTCGCAAATCAATCACAAATACTATTGCTGTGGAAGTCTTAGCGGAAGTTAGTTGTAGCATAATTCTCGATTGTTTTCAGTGTTATTCAATATCAAACTGCAGTGATTTAAAGGCAATGTCTGTCAAAATATCGTTCTTTTAAGAAGATTTTGACTTTTTCGGGGACTTTTCGCCATAAGGAATCCATATCTCGGCTTTTCAGCTCATGAAAATGGCGAAAATGAGTTTTTTTCGAAGCTTTCCACGTTCGCATTCAGTGGAGAATACGTGCAAGTGGGCGGAGCCCGGAGCGAGAGAGGCAGGGCGCGAAACAATTCCGACATATCTTCATTGAATGCCGACCTGGAAAGCTTCAACAAAAGCTCATTTTCGCCGTTTTCATGCGCTGAAAAGCTCAGATATGAATTCCTCATGGCGAGCAAGGCTCCGAAAAGGTGAAAAACTGGAAAACGGATTTCTGCCGAGACGCTGCTTTTAATGTAAGATTTATTATTTTTTGTTAAGATTTGTGCCCGGCAGGACGAGCGCTATACCGTACTTCAGTCACACAGACGCCTGTGCAGGTCTGCCCATTTTACAAACTAATATTCAATGCCAAATTATGCAAATTCGCATCAGTGAGGAGTAATGCCTTAGTATGGCCTGATTGCTCAGAGTCTTCGGAGTCCTAAGAAATATGCAGCAGAATTCTTCTGAGCTATTAACCCTATTATGATAACGTACACAAAAAAACCTGCAGTGTTAGTAATACCACTATTGAACAATTACTGGAAGTGCTACTGGTGAAACTGAAATAAGGATAGGGCGGTTAAGAGTTTTTGCGGAAGGGGGGGGGGGGGAGGCGGGGGAGGAGTGACCCTCGAAAATGGGTCACAAAATTATCATGAATTTGCATGTGTTGTTTTTACTCCTGAATCATCCTTGAACATTTTTTTTGATTCCTATTATTGTAGAGACAGTTGCTAAAAAAAGTAACTGCCGCCAAAGCCCCGTTCTATAGAATCTCGAGATTATAGGCCGGCTTTTTCAAGCAGCAGGAAAATTCCACGCCCAATGTTCGAAACAATTCTGTCGCCTCTCCCTACAAAATTTCTGACATCGTCACTGCTATTAGGCCTTGGGCATACCTCACGCGACTTAATCGCCAAGCGATTTGGCATTTTCCAGATGTCTTCAAAATCAATACCCGCAGACCCGATTGCACAGCATGTAAAACTTTCGTAAATTGATAAAATGCCCTATGTTTAGAACATTCAGGAACCCCTTACGATTAGTTATGAACAATCGAAGTATTGCCAAATCGCGTCGCATGAGGTATACCTAAGGCCTTAGGTCGTAAAATTCGAGTTTTCATAAATAAGATCCCAGCCTCCTACCATCTGACTAAGGTGATTTCAGTAGTATTTCACAAAAAAAATCTCGTAAACTACCTGTTGTTCCAGAGAATACGTATTCTCTACGAGAAAATATTTAAGGAAAAGCGATAATGATAGAACGTAATGTCTGCATTCTGTATCTTGGTGCATAGTGAGATAAGGGAGGGGAATACCCGAACGAAACTTTGATCAAAACTATTTTGGAACTGGAAGAAAAGAATAAAAGTGGAATAAAAGAATAAAAGAATAAAAAAAAGTGTTTGTTCCCTACAAGTAGTGCTACATATTTAGTGCGCCATGGGTCCTATTGGCGGTGGTTGTCCGGCCACTTTCACTTGCCAAAGCGATGTTCCAAACGCTTTTCAAGGATATTGTTGTAGTCAGATGCGTAAGTTCGACTCTCCTGTTGTCCATATGTGCTGACTGATAAAAATTTAGTCATCTGCCCTGGGGGCGTCGATTTCCATCTGGATGAAAAGACCATGATGCCTACTACTTGCACAAGCGAGGGATTTGCTTTTTGTCCACAGGTAAGGTTAGAATCTTTATATGGCTGTAAAACATAGGTAAAATGTTTTCTAGGGTTACACCTGTCAACAACAACCGGAAACATCAAAGCTATTCTGTTGTCAAGGAAAGGAGAAGGAAGGAGTCAAAGGCGAGTGTAAACCTGCAGTTTTTTTTTGAATCAAAGTGTGAGAAAGAATTTTTTATGCCCAGCAAACTTGAGTACTGGACATCTCGAAGGAGCAGTGTTTGATAATCTTTATTTGGTCTTTGCCGAAGGTGCAGGTGATTCGCTTCACTCAAAGCAAAATGATCAGATTTAGATTCAAGACCAGACCGTAATCTGCTCAGAAAAATCAGTGTCTCCTAGTCAAAAAGTACTTGGGCAGGGGTTTAGAGTTGAATTTCTTCAAAGTGAGCAAGTAGTATAATCTCTCGTTGGGGCGCTGGTTAAGGGCTAAATTGAGGTCTTTCAGTATATCCCCGTAAGAAGTCTAGGTACCCAAACCTGCTCAAACTTCTTCAAGAACACATAGCATTACCACATGATCGCTAAATTTCAGTTATGATGCAAAAAAACATAATTTGAAAAAAGGCTTGGCATTTTTTTTTTGCACTCACATTGGCAGACGCTTATATTGAAAAATGAAAATAACAGAAATTGAACCAATTTTCGAACAATGAATTCAGCTTGAAAAACCAATCCACCGTAATCGAGTGCGTAAAGCAGAATATTACAGATGGATGCCCACCTTCTCAATATGCCTATGTTGAAAGTGGTATAATCAAAAGCTGTGATCCATTCAATGTAAACAGTAAGCTGATAGGTTTTCCTTACAAAATGAAATTTCTGTTGAAAAAGTGACTGTTTTCATTATTATAGGCACAGCATGTCCTATGCATTATTCTTGCCAGTGGTCAGTCACAAATCAGAAGTATCAGTGCTGCGGATCACATGTTATACGCGAAGTGAAACCATACAAAATAGGTAATTTTGATCTCGGCGGGAAAAATGAATGCTGAAATATGGAAATTTTTAGATGATGGATGTCCTCGTAAACAATTCGCTTTACTGGATAGATGGACAAGCAGACCTCGCATCTGCACTGCTGGAGAGGTAGCTATTAATTTTATTTACTAACTAGTTACAGGGCTTATCAAACGCAGTGTCGCTTGCATCAGCATCTCCACTCCCGCGCTGGACCCTGAGTCTCTTCCGCAAACATGCTCTCTAATCACTTCAATTCGATTGAGGCTCCGCCTTTCCCATGCTCGCCCTGGGAAAGTGATCAGAGAGCATGTTCGCGGAGGAGACGCAGAGCCAGCGCGGGAGTGGAGATGCTGATGCAAGCAACACTGCGTTTGATAAGCCCTGTATGTCCTCGAAATTTTCCTTTTTTAAATTTTTTGCAAGACTTTATGAAATGTAAATGCTGTACTCACGAAGTGGCAGCAACTAATGCAACACTGTAATGCAAAATTCAAAATTTTGCTGGCAGTTAGATTGTTGGGCGTAGGCCTTTGCTGGTTACTGTAGGTATACGGTACGGGAAACGCACCATCCACATCTCGACTTCTTCTATGTTTAGATCGTTCGGCCTTCTCATGTCCCTGATTCCGAATATGAAGTCGAGAATTTGCGAAAACCCCAACAATCTCCGTTTCGGAGAATCCGCAGGCTGTCTTTCCGGAACGATAACTGGTCGGGCGCGCAAGGATGGGCAGGCATTGCTGAAGGGGCGATGCCGACTTGGGGTCCCCGAAACGACAATTTGGCGCGGCTTGAGCATTGGCATTAAGAAGTCCTACTATCATAAGCTGTCAAAAGCTTAAGATCTCTAACTTAGGGTGGACGGTGCCTTTAGATCTCTAAAATCAGATTTTATGTATCGAAGAGTTGATTGACATAATTAAAGATAATTTTCACTCTTTGAACTGCCTCAACATAGGCTAAGAGTGGGATCGTATCGTATATCTATATACTGTAACTACATTCTCAAGCGCTACCAAAAAATGAATGATATTCATGATCAGCATGTCGAATAGCCTCTCTACGCCAAATTACAGCGACTGATATACCGTATACCTACAGTAGCCCATAAAAAAGATGTACATCAATATCACTTAACTCCTGTGCTCAGTTTAATGAAATTATGCTGCAAAGTTCGAGGGAAACCTTAGTTTCTAAACTTATATAGGTGGAGTAATACTGCAGCAGTGAGTTGCTTTCTCCATAAATTTTTCTTTATAGCAAAACGCCTGCCCTATTGGATTTTTCTGCCAATTTTCTGCTAAATACGCACAATTCCAGTGTTGCGGTCAAAATGGAGGTATGACACTTTTTCCCAGTCTCTGAATGTTCATTAGCTACACTTCTTCTTCAAAGGTTGTCCCGCTCGTCGTGCGGCTTTCATAGCCGTTGATGGTAATGCGCAAGAGTGTATGCCTGGACCGGATATGTGTACAGATGGTTTTGAATGTGTTCGTAGTGTATACGATAGCAGGAAGAACATTTGCTGTAGTAAAGAGGACAATGGTGACCTTTATTTTAAAAGATTTTCTTGAATAACAAAATCATGTTTTTGTAAAGTACTGTGATAACAGAACTTACAGTCGAGTAGAATTTCTGCTTAATATAGTGTGCTTGCACAAAAGGTGAAATGCGGTAAAATTTGCGCGCGAGGAATTAGCTTCGACTGTGACGCCGGCATTTGCGCGCGCAAAATACCGGCAGTGCTGGCGCAGCTACTTGTTCACGCGCAAATTTTACGGCATTTCATAAACTGTGCAAGCACACTATATTAAGCGAGAAATCTACTCGACTGTAGTTTTGAAAATGTGCTCCTTGCAGAATGTCGAGAAAACGAAAAGATGATCCAAGGAAAATGTGTAGTGCTGAAGAAAATTGGAGACACTTGTGGTGACGACAATGAGTGTGCAGGTGGAAGCAAATGCAGAGACCATTTCTGCATGTGAGCGTTTTCATTCTGAGCCAAGAAATAAGTGCGTAGTCGTGGGGTGCAAAGTTTTTTCTTGAGAAGGTCAATGGAAATTGCTCCAAAGAAAGGAGCACTAGCCTGGCCTTCGGAAGTATTTTCTTTCGATCTGTCGCAGACTCGTAGCATAAAGATTCTGTCAAATGGCAACCACGTTTTCAAGGAAATCCTACAGCGCCTACTCCTTGCTTCTTCAAATGATATTCTAATCATGTAGTTGATACTCGCCTTCACTCTCTTTGGGCTATGTGATTCACATCTTTGACCTTTTCCACCGTAAATTATTCCAAACCCACCAACTTCTGAGATATTTTGGCTCTTACTAAACATGATCCAGGAAGCGATACATAACTGCCTCATACAACTCATCCTTCGAGGACCAATAAACCTCTTTCACCTAGTCAGTCTCAACTCTCTAGCTTAATCGCAAAAATAATCAACAAATTCTTGAGAAAAATGATTTTTATGAATCGAGTAGTAGGCGACCGATCCAGTTTCTCCTAGAGTAATATTCAACATCCAATAAAAAACGCAAAAATTGGTAAACCAATGGTAGCGACATTTATAGACCTATTATAGTCCCGTCCGGCCCTGAATATGTACAGGGTGCCCCAAAAAATTTGCACACCGTTTGATAGTTAATAACTCTCCTGCTATGATGTCTTTCAGCGAACTTTAGATACCGCGTGGAGCGAGATTCAACTGAGATTTACAGTATAGAGCGAGTCAGAGATCTTTCTCCATTACTGTAGGATTACGGTAGGCACTGCAATGAGGATTTTAAGCCATTGAGAGCCATATCTTGCTCCAAAAAACCAACCCAAAAACTCCTACACCTAGCTAATAAGGTCTCTGATTCCAGATATAAAATTTGCACTTTACTTATCGTCCTAACATCGTGACACTAGTGTTCCTCTAATGTTCACCGTAAATGTGTTTACAACCACTGAAAAAGCTCAAAAAGTCGTAAAAAGTTGGGCAGTGAAATCAGCACGCGCTAAAACCCTTTTGCACAAATTTTTAGATTTTTCGCAAAAAATCTTGTCAGACGGTCTTTCATAATGTTTCTGTATACTGAAAGTTACTTGGTACCTAAAGCTAGCCGAAAGACTTCGAAGCAAGAGAGCTATCAACGATCAAAGAGTGTGCACTTTTTTGAGACATCTTTATGTGCAAAATTTGGTCCCCACCGTTCAATGCGGTTGTTCATGGAAAGCACAAAATGCCATTCGACATAAAAACACTCAAACATACAGACACGCACACCTGTGTTTTGTAGGTGTGCCTTTGACCAAGAAGTGGTGAACGGTGAATGCATCGCGCAGACATGCGAGCCGACACAGGTATATCTTACTTTAGTTTGAACTATTTCAAAGCATTCTAGCTATGGTTTTAGATCATATTAGATGGCAAATGTCTTGATCGTGCTGCTTTTGGGGAGCCTTGTAGGAGCTCATTGCAGGTAATTTCATTTATCTGCCTTATCCTACAAATGATAACAAAACAAGCATTACGTTTCAAATAAATTTTAGTGCTTGTCAAATTTACGCTGCGTAAATGGACAATGTGACTGCATTAAAGGAGAAAGAGTTGAAGGAAACAACTGCATTAAAAAAGGTGAAGAGGAGTCATCCAACGGTAAGTTTTACAGTTTTTATATGCAAATCTCCAAAGCGCTTGTTTCTGTGATTTTTCGTCTGTGGCAAGTTGAAAGCAGCGTCCAGGCAGATTTGGACATCATAGGATACTATCATAACCGAGCACTAGGGCCTCGTTTTAGAACAATCGCACAAGTCCGATTTTTGTACACTCTCGGTAAAAGAAGGAAAACGGCGCGGAAAACGCCGAGCCTTGAGGACCACACCCATTATCTCGTAAGGCCCGCCCCGTTAAACGAACTTCCTCAGCCCTTGACTTGTTTTCACGTGGTAAACACAATGGAACACATAGTGTCTACCTGTTAATGCTTGCTTTCGACCACGGCCCGGCACAGATGGTTTGGGGTCAAACAGGACTTCGTTTTTGGGGTCAGAAGCAACGGGTATGTGATTTTTATAAGGTCCTCGACGAAGCACCGAAAAAACGACAAACATGTCAGGTTTTACGAATTGAACATGTTCTTTGGCAAGCGCATGAATTTCAAACGTAAGACCTAAACAAACAGATGGCTTGTTTACAGCGCAAAAACAATCACATGACGCCGTATTTGGTCTATGTATGTACAGTATTACTCCAAACAACATTATGTAGAAAGTTTCAAAAACTTTTGTGTCCTAATACCCGTTCCCGAATTTGTTGGTTTCTAGACCAACACCAAACCAACTAGGTTGGTTGGGAGCATAAATATCGGAGAGTTCATATAAATTTTGGAACTTTTTGATTTAAACGAACAGTGCGATTCAAAATCTATCATACAGCGAAGAGAGCGAAACAAACCACTGCTTCTCCTCTTTTTTGGGCTAAAAATAGAGTGTCAAGTAAAGCATTGGTAGATATCGCGCTCCAATCACATGCGGTGTCCTTTGAACTATGTGGCGCAAAATGCATCGCCAGATTGTTGAGGTCACAGATTTGGTTGGCGTAAGAGGTTTTCAACGTTCTGAACACTAAAATGGTACCATGCTCAAGAATGGAATCTACACAGAATGTTTTTTTTTGATTTTTTTGCTTATCAGGTACCTCAAAACTCGCTTTTTTCGCTTTTTTTATCGTTATGTTTTGTTATGTTGATTGAACAAGGGTTTCCCTACTGACTTTTACGTCAAAGGGGCTTTGTGTGAATTTGCGAATTCATAGGGACTGTTTCTAAAAATGCTCCAAACCAACGCGTGCTGGGCCCTGCTTTCGACAAGGACTGCATTATAAGCACTCGTCCACGCTTCTCACAAAATTGTCTCAAAAATGGGGTTTTTGAGAAATTCACGCATTTTGAGTGCCATATTTGGAGTCAGCGCCATGAAAAGGCCTGGATAAGGCGAAAAATAGAAATAGAGATTCTGCCTGGACGCTGCCTTTGAGCTGCTCGCGAAATATTACAAAACAGCTTCAAAAGAGCGCTTGAACTCAGCATCATAGATCTTTTTGAGCATGTAGTAAGATCGCAGCCGTCAGCTGAAAATTGTTCCTGTGGGGAAAAGCGAAGGAGTGCTGTAAAAACCCGACTATGTAGCAATAGAGAGAGTTTGGCAATCAGGCGAGAAAGCTTGCTCTTTCAAGAAAAAAACTCAACAGAAATTGGCTCTATTTCATTTTTCCATTATCTTCGACTTATTGTTAGTGGCTTTCGAGTGAAGCTTATACAGCAATTATCGCAAAATAAAGTCGTAAAATTTTGCAGCGTAGAAAGCAAATTTCTTCCCGGGGATTTAATTATCCAGGTTCTAGGGCCTTGTTTTGGAAATATTGATACAAGCCAGAAATTTTTGGGGTACAAATGACGTTATTAAAGCGGTAGGCACTTGTTTTTTCAGAAATCATGAAAGCTCGTCCAAAGAATATCGATATATGCCCATTGAGATCGGAGCAGGCATACTTCGAAAAAGGAACGAAAAAAGTGCGTTACTGTAGCCAGACGGCCAATGATTGTCCTAAGGGTTATACCTGTCAATATAGTGAAGTGGTAAGTTGATGGCCTACGTTCGTTCCAAAATTCTTTTTTGCAATTTAGGTTAAACAAAATGTTTGTTGTGGCAAAGACAAAAAAGAAGAAAAGAATAAGAAAGAGGAGACGACAACAATGGTCAATACAGAATGGCCAACAACATCGAGTACAACACAATCCTTGCGAAAGACTACTGCTGTTACAGCTTCGCCTATAATTCCAATTTCAATAAGCAAGTTTATACTTTTTACTCCAGTTGAAAAATCGAAAACTCGTCCATTGAATTTCATCTACAGTTGAATTTTAATGATGATGAAAATTTACGCGTTGCAGGTCATTGTCCCCCCAGCATGACTCCATACCTTTTGAACGGCAAACCGAAACCATGCTCGTCAAGCCTTTGTCCGTACGGCTTCGAATGCAAGTTTTCACCAAAAAATAAGGATTACTTCTGCTGTTCGAAAATTTGGAGAAGAACTGACCATTTGCAGAAAGGTTCGTTATTTGAGAGCCATTGACAGAATGTTCTTCCAGTTTTATTATGAAATTATTTGTTACAAAAAACTCTAAATTTCCGTCTCTAATACAGATGGTGGATGCGAACAAGGCTCCGTATTGTTATATCCTGCAACACAAGAACCTGTACAATGTGATTTGAAGCGAAGAGCATGTCCTCATGGTTTCCTGTGCTTGCCTCATACTGAAACAAAGGTGCGGTTAGGTATATTCATCGGTAAAGTGCCCTTGTGGTGACGACTTTATTTGCGCAGAAAAATGGTGTACTTATGCTTTCAACTGGCTTGTGGCTTGCACAATAACGGCAGGGAGAACATATATCTTTCTTGCGCGCAGATGTTGTAATCATCGCAGGCACACTGATTATTGTCTGTCTTACTAATTGTAAATTAACACATTGACGACCGCAATAACTGCCGCGTGGGGCCGCTTGACACACCATGTGTGTCAAGGCTTGAATTTTGCTGAAATGACTGCTATCCTGGGATGAACTCAATCCACGAGCTTTCTTTTGCAGTGAATCTAGGAATGACCTCTACCTTTTATGTGAGCCTTTCAGATCTACTGTAGGTGTACTATAGATGGCAATGTGCGTGATTATATGACTATACTTGAAAAATGTGGGCTGGTCCGTAAAAGACCTTGGTCCCAGAAGGCAGACAACCAGAAATCTGCATGGTCGTCAATGTGTTAAATATTAGCGAGCGCAGCATTTGATTTCGATTATAGTTAATCTGGACTGCCAAGCTTGCTTTTTTCTCGCTGCTCACCAAAATGTCTTCATTCTTCAATGTTCCTTAATTTCCTTTGCCGGGATCTTTTGTGGAAGGGGTATCTGAAAAAAACTTAGACGAGCGCTTTTTCGGACCAGAAAAGGTGATAACGGATTGGCCAATCATTGAAACAATCTTGGTATATATCTGGAGAAGACGCCAAGTAGCAACTTTTTTGCGAATCAACTGATGAACCATGTGCGGATTCGTGTTTACTAGTGGTTACCCTGAAATCTCACAGATAAATCTCAACTGATTTGAAATGTGATTACATTTTGAAGATTTCCTAACTACAAAATTGCAGAAAGCAGAAAAATAGTCGTCAATCAGTTGAAGGTTCTTGGAGAGCTCTTTTGAAATAATATTGTAATGCGGGTGCTCATAAACGGCTTCATCAATAAGAAGATTCTTCGTATTTTGAATTGCAATGTTGACTCAGCAAGCCTTAGAGTAATTTTGCAAATTGGCGCAAATTTTAAATGATCAAAAAAGCGGGGTGCGCGAAGAGGCAGGACTGAGACTCTCTTGGCCACATAGCATCGGAAAAATATCTTTGACTAATAGAGTGCCGAGATGGTAAGGGAATTGAGGGCATTTTGATAGATCTAGCACCAGCTTCACAGTGAAAATACTGGGATCAAAAAAGGAAAGGGGCCGCTTTGTCTTCGAGTCAGAACGAATGAACATTTCGAATACTTAAGAAAGTAAATCGAACAGGGATTGTGGGTAAAAGCTTTGACATCTGTCACCTTGCCAGGACATTATGATCACTTTTTACTTTCTTTCAGGCGCTACAGTGCTGCTCAGTACAATCAGACAAGAACAGCAGTCATTCCGAACCAGATAGTGGGATCTTGGTCGATTTTTCACGAAACGTTACAGAAAATATTTTAGTAGAGTGTCCTAGTTATATGGTTCGCGTGAATGGCGTTCGACAAGGGAGGAAAACGGCGTACTGCGGTAATTCACAATCTTAAAGTTGTAATCTGGGGCAATATGACACTGAAAAACTTACTTTTTCCAGCTCGGTCGTGCCCTGATGGTCAAGTAGCGGTGAACGGAATTTGCCAATAATGTTAGTATTCTCACGAATAGGCGAAGGACCTCAAATGAGCTGTGCTACCTACTATTGACGGTTCTCATTCTTCCATAGATAATGTTGTTGAAATGTTTAGTTCAAATCACTCGATATCTTCGAGTGATTTGATATCCTTATGTAGATACAATTGTATCATGCTATCAAGGCTATTTCACTCATGTGAATTGATTGTTGAACGACTATCCCATAAAGGTGTCGAGTACTCAGATCAGATTATCTGCGTTTAAATGTATGTAGTCACATCATTGGTCGGGGGACATCGTGATAGACATCAAGTTTTTCAAAAGCGAAGAGGTAAAGTCTACAATGAAGTCGGGAAACAGAGGATGTGCTGCACTCCACCCTGAAATGGTTACGGATTCGGAAAATCGGAGCAAGTAAAGGTTCAACGAAAACTCTAGAAAGTTGCACGGTTTTTTTCATAACTTTGAGCAAGAAGCGAAATTAGCAGCGCGCAAATTTCTGTGACCGCTTACTTCCGAATTTTGTCTGAGCACTTTATGGGAGGAAGGCCACGCGGACACTACTCATTTACACTGTTGTTTCCCAAAAAGCGCGGAAGATTGGTGCAAAAATTATGGTTCAAACATGCAGTAAAAAACTGTACAGAGTGGAAGGAAAACAGTACCACCATCCATATTCAAGAGTCAAGTATCGCACTGGCAACTAAGAGTAAATTTGGAACCGTTTGGCGTAGTTTTGATTTCATTTTGTCAGGCGCGTTCAACAGCATTGTGTAGATAAGCTACGAAAATACTCTGACAGTTTGGTATATAACAATAATGTGTTTTACAATACTTTACTTCAAAATTTAGTAGTTAGCGAAATCAAAGCTGTCTACAATCTATGTCAAACACAAAGAGTCGGAACTGACGCTAAACTGTTGCTAAAAATCTCTTCACGAAATTTGAAAAATTGACTGAAAGTCAGGGTCCTGCCCGAGACGTGTTTTTGGCATTTCGAAAAAATTTGCACAGCAGTTACCCAAATCTGACTCTTCGGTAACTTCACGTTTCTGACAATATCAGTAAGGTTGATCCATTGAGCCAAAACGCGTTGAGAGAAAGTTGTGAGTTACGTACCTTTCGGCCTTATCGTCTTTCAAAGCTAGAAAAATATCGGTATTGCTACCACACAAGGAAACTGCAGGAGTTACTTACTGGCGCTCACTGTTAAGAGGCAGGGCCCAAGCGCGACTCAAGCTGCGTTTCAAACTCACTAGCTGAAACAAGGGCGATTTTGAATCGATGCCCCCTTGTATTTGAAAATTTTTTACAAAGTGCCCTTTGACTTTTAACTCTCCTCCTCATGACTTTTCGCTTCATTTTTTTTTTGTGTTGTCGCTCACCCCAGAATAGCAGTAAAGCTGGAAATTCCTCCTTTCACTAATTCTCAAACAGAAAATTCATTGTTTTGAGCTAAAGCATTTCCAGCACGCATTTGATATTCAAGGCCTTCCTGTTTTCTACGAAGGTGTTCGGTATCTAATGCAATTTTTGAAGCAATGGTTTGCACTGCACCCATATGTGGTATTTCTTTCAGTAATTAAAATAAACATTGATTATTCTCGTTTTTTTCTTATATACGGTTTTCCAAATGCTTACGTTTTTTTGCGGTAATGGTCTATGGAATTTGAGGCTTTGTGACCTATTAAGCCCGCAACGCAGTCTGTCTCTTGCGCGCGTGCTCTCTGATTATTGGTTAGCTCTAAGTAGGTCACCAAGCGCCGCCTTCCATCCGCCAAGCAGTTGAATCAAATCATACTTACTACTTGTGGGTCATGAGCCTCATCTTTCCTTATGGGATTTGCGGATCATTCCAAAAAACTATAAAACTTTTGAACCGACCTTACTTATATGGTATCGAAAAAGTAAAACAAAAAATGTGAACAAAATCTTACTACATCCTGACATTCTGCAAACGAAAAAAAACTCCCCATATATTGGTAGGGTGTCAGCAGTGAATACGCAGTGCATCCTCGCTTCACCTCCAAGGCGAAGTTCCAGTTAAGGCAAAAGTCCACTTTTCACGAACAGGAGAAAGCAGTGGCGTACCGAGGGGGGGGGGCGGGGGGGGGAGGGGCGCCCCCCCCCCCAAGAATGGGTCGCGAAATTTTTGAAAGTTACTTATATGGGTTATGAAAATGTGCAAGTGACTTGTTTATTTTTGTAAATAATTAAAATAATTTTTAAAAATTTCTAAAAATTCAAATTGGCTTTGTAAAAAAAATTTTTTCGGGGGCGTGGCTGACGCCACGCCCCCTTTTTCCACATTTTAGGGATCGGGGACCCGCAAAAGTTTTGAGAACTACCCCAAAAAATTTTTCGGAGTGCGTGGCTAACGCCACGCACCTTCTTTAGAAAAAAATTTTTGTCGCGCCCCTCCCCCCCCCCCAAGCCGAAATCCTGGGTACGCCACTTGGAGAAAGGCATATTATAATGGGCCAGCACGAGCCTCTGCGAACTGAGGCGACGCTTTGATACCTTCTCAAGAACCAATGAAGTTAGCAGAGAAAACAAAAAATACTTGGTACGACTTCCACAAGCATAATAGGAGGGGGTATGAGTGAACAATACTAGAAAATTTGGAAGTTTGTTCAAAAGAAAAGAATAACATGTTAACTACAATTTGCTCATGACATCCTCGTTACTACACTACCAGGAAAATGATGAAGTCTCAGTAAGTACCGAGAGTGATACGAGATGTTTACAAAACTGATCTCTATATAAATCTCTCAATGACCGGTCAGAATCACTTTCGCAGTTTCTTTTCTACACTCGCCCTACTCACAATCGAAGGCATGCCGGAGGCGCATCGTGAAATCCACGTGGAAGATGTCAGTAAACTGAAGCCATCTACCCTTGTCTGACCAGAGAACATCTTGCTGCATAGCATGCTTGCAGTTTGATCCAACGCTGAGAAAGCATGAATACTTTCATGGTCTGCTACCACGTGAAGACGCTGTATCACTATTGGTCAAAAACGGAGATTTCCTGGTACGACTTAGCGAGGTAAGAGAAACTTTTGGACAAGTAACAGCAGCTTTGTAGAATGTAGGCCGGACAATCGAGCGTTTAAAACTAATGGAGATGGCGCGAAAAGTGTATACCAATACAGGGCAATGATGCACTCTTCTTTACTTCCCCACCAAAGACTTCGCTCCACGACGATCTCTGTGCTATCTCTCAGATCAGTGCATCCTAAATCAGAATGAAAATAGCTGTTTTGTGCTTCACACTTGGCACTTTGAAATATTGAGGACTAGCTGGCTTACCAGGCTCCGCCCGGCCCTGTCAAGAACGATATAGGTTCCATTTCTATCCCTGTACTCCTTTACCTGTGCCCATGCAATTCCCTATTCCCGCTGTGTGAGTAATCAGTTTGCTCATCTACCTTCCTCACCAACCCCCCCCCCCCACAGCCCCGTAGCTTAAACTTTGCAAAAAAACAATAAAATCGGTAAAAGTAAGGATAATTCTAAAAACTGATGGCGTTATTCGGCCATCCGGGCCCTAAAATGTTTTTGTGGTGTGTCTTGCTCAAACCAGGTATATGGGGGTTATTTAAGCCGCTGATGACGAATATGGTAGTCATTTCGCGTGGCAGCGGGTAAAAATCATGAACCTGCCTGAAACCTTGACAGGGAATTACCTAAAATGCTGTTTCAAGAATATCGTGCTTAATCCCATAATAATGGCAATTCGTGTGGCATAAAAGTTTTCCACGACCGCAATGCTTTCCTTGTAGGACCACTGCTGCGCGCGAGACACCCATCGACAGCTTTTGCCTAAGCAAAAACAGGGGGAGATTTGCCGCTTGCGTTATGCATTGGGACAGGTTATCAGTTTCCTTATAGGACCACTGCCGCGCGCGATACACCCTTCGGCGGCTTTTGCCTAAGCAAAAAACAGAGGGAGGGAGATTTGCCTCGTGCGTTCACATTGGGACAGGTTATTAGGATGGCGCTGGAGACCGCCATGCAGAACAACCGCTTCCCCATTTCGTGAATATCTGGGATCTAAATTGGCCCGAAAGCGGGAAAATGTCCATTCAAACCCCGCAATTCACCATAACTTGACTAATGCGTTATGACAGCGAGCAAGCATCATATTCATAAGCAGTATACTTCTGAACCGTTACAGGTAAGGTTTTGAGCAAATCTGGTACTTCGACCCATCTACACCCACCGTAACCCAAGAAAATGCACCATCCTGCGAAATCAGCACGATATTCATGTTCAGCGCGGTAAATGACCACCCTAGACGAAGTTTAAAGCAAATCTATGTTTTCGACACCACATTGTATAACAACAATAACTCTATGAAAAAGTTCCAATATGCAGAGAGAGAGTATGAAATTCGTAATCAGCATGTCGAATAAGTTCTCTGAACCAAACTTTAGCCGAATTCATGATTTTGACCCCCTACCGTACACCTGCTGTAACCACACGGGGAGACGTTCTGCGGAGAAAGTGTGATATATGTTTTCAGCACGTAAGATGACCCTTATACACAAAGTTTGAGCAAGCTCTACGACAAAGAAACTTTGGGGCCCGGATAGCCGGCCAAATCAATACTGCACTCGTAATAGCATGCTCGATTACCCCCTGTGCCAACTCCCAGCCCCGTAGCTCAAATTTTGCTTAAAAAATCGATAAAATCGATAAGAGTAATAGGCGATTTCAAAGAGTAATATTGTATTCGTAATCAGCATGCTCCATTACCCCCCCCCCCCCCTCCCTCCTGTGCAAACTCCCAGCCTCGCAGGCCAAACTTTGCAAAAAACTCGATGAAATCAATAAAAGTAATCGATAAATCTGAAAAGTAGTATTGTTTTCGGAATCCCCATGCTCGATTACCCCTGTGCCAACTCCCATCCCCGTAGGTGAACTCTGCAAAAGATCGATAAAAATCGATAAAATCGATAAAAGTATTGGACGATTTTGAAAACTAATACTGTATTTGTGATCAGCATGCTCGATTACCCCCCCCCCTGTGCAAACTCCCAGCCCCGCATGTCAAAATTTACAAAAAAAATGGATAAAATCGATAAAAGTAATGTACGATTTCAAAAACTAATATTGTATTCGTAATCAGCATGCTCGATTACCCCCCTGTGCAAACTCCCAGCCCCGCATGTCAAAATTTACAAAAAAAATGGATAAAATCGATAAAAGTAATGTACGATTTCAAAAACTAATATTGTATTCGTAATCAGCATGCTCGATTACCCCCCTGTGCCCCAGCCCCGCATGTCAAAATTTACAAAAAAATCGATAAAATCGATAAAAGTAATCGATAATTCTGAAAACTAATATTGTATTCGGAATCCACATGCTCACTTACCCTCCACCCCCCTGTGCCAACTCCCAGCCCCGTAGGTGAACTCTGCAAGAAATCGATAAAAATCGATAAAATCGATGACGAAAAGTAGCCTATGACACCCGCCGGGGCCCGAAGTATATGTGTGCCAAGTTTGGTCCGGATCGGTTCAAAAACGGAATTTTCTATTCGGAACGTACGTACAGACATACATACATACAGACAGACAGACAGACATACAGACAAACAGACATTCAGCTTTATATATAAGCTGTTGTTGAAGACCGGTGAAGCGTCACCTATGCTTTGCAAATGTACAGTGGGTTTCTCCCCCAATCGTGCTCGCCCAATAAAAATATCTATTTTGGAACACACCGAGATATCTATTCTACTCATCCCAATTGAACAACAAATTATCTTTCATGGAAATTTGGAGATGGCGCGGTGAGGGACTGAGGGATGGGAAGTGGCGTCGGATAAAGTCGACTGCAGGAAGTCACGGATCCGGATCGCTATAGACTAAACGTACGCAAGCGTGCCTGCAACGTGGCTGGGGAGTACGGGGCTATGATTACTCATACACGCGAAGGCCAATGCTAGCCCGCAAGAAAAACGCTCGCAATCGTTGAGCCCGGGCGATTCCGTGCAGTCAACTATACGCAGATTCATGTGACGCAATGCCATAACTAGCATGGTGTCAAGAGTGCTGGCGACTCTTGCAGTGGTAAATGTCACGGAGCGAACAGGCACCGCGAAAATTTCGCGCGGACAGTAAGTCTTGACCCGTTCCCACAAGTTAGAGCTTTCAAAGCAATTTTTTGAAGCGTTCCCGAGTATATAATTAAAATTGAATGATATATAACTGAAAACCTTGACTGACCTCTCCTTTCGTGAAAAGTCTGTTTTTTCCCAAGATAAATTAGCTTGATAGAACATGTTTTATATCAGTTGAAGGCACTGTACACGCAGATCTGGACGCTTGTGTTTTGTGCCTGGAAACTAGTAGGGGGGGGGGGAGGGGGTCTATCCAAAGCACTGCACAAGCGGCAGCGCAAATGATCCACTCACAACTTTGAAACCAATCCCCAAACCCCTCCGCGCTTGCGCCATGACCGTAACTCAATAGTGACTTAGGACGGGTCCCAGCGCGAATGTAGTGTTAAAGTAAGCGAAGTCATTTATGGGTTACGGTCACGGTGCAAAAGCGGAGGGGCTTGGGGATGGAGTTCTCGGCCGCGAAATCATTTGCGCTCCCGCTCGGGCAGCGCTTTAGATAGGACCCTTTATCAGTTTCCGCAAAAAAAGTCATGAGCCCAGATTTGCTTGGACATTGCCTTTAAAGGCAGCGTCCAGGCAGATCTGGACCTATGGGGCTTTTACGTGGAAAGTACTTTTGGGGCCCTAACTAAGGCACTGCCCAAGCGGCAGCTCAGGTAGTGCTGTAATGGCTGAGATATTCCCCTCGAAACTGGCCCCCGCGAACGTATTCGCATGGATTTATGGCAGTTTCGCGCCAGGATCCACGCTTTGCGCCATGAATCCATGCGAAACACGGTCGCGGGGTCCAGTTTCGAGGGGAATATCTCAGCCATTACAGCACTACCTGAGCTGCCGCTTGGGCAGTGCCTTAGTTAGGGCCCCAAAAGTACTTTCCACGTAAAAGCCCCATAGGTCCAGATCTGCCTGGACGCTGCCTTTAAGTCAACAAATACAAAGAACAATTCTTTTGAAGCCTTAAAAACTATAATCACTTCTACGTCTCTGATACATTAGCGATTAAACACAAGGCATTGTCTCTGTCTCTCCTGAGCTATGCAGTTCATTAACTGGATAAACCTTGGCCTATCTCTGCACATCCAAAATATTATACAGTTTGAAAGCAAAGCCTGAAGATCTCTGATTTATTCTTGCCAATAACTTAGGCGGAAGGGTCAAACATCAAGACAGTTCTATCGGTTCTACATGATCCAAAGTTACGCTGTAAAGGAGCTACGCCCCAAGCAAGAGAAGAATTTGTGAGAACTTTCTCAAATTGCCAGAAGGTACAAATATAATCTACTGTTCAGGTAGTACATATTATAATTGAGTACGATAAGAAGAAATACTACATTGTTAGCGATTACGGATTCAACTCAGTGCCGGAGCTAATTCACTTCTATTTAAGCAGACCAATACAATTCAAATCTGTGAGTTTCACAACCCTCGGAAAAAGAATGATGATTCAGAAGTTACAAAACCATACTCTTGCAATGTCGAAGGAGAATGAGAATGGTTGTAAGGTGCTCATTTTCGAGCGTAATCAAAGTCTTCGGAGATTGCAAAGCATGCGTCGCGCAGAATTTAGCCTCTTGGCATCAGAAAAGCGAGGCACTAAACAAGCGCAAAGCAACTTAAACTGGAAGCAAAAAAGAGACTGGTAAATTCGGGATATACAGGGTTTCCCAAAAGTATGTATGCACTGTTTGATCGTTAATATCTCTCTTCCTAAGAAGTCTTTTGCCTTGCTTCAGGTACCGTTTTGTAGAGCTGGCTTTAGCTTAGACTTGCAGTATAGAACGAATCACCGATCTCTTTTATTACTGCAGGATTACGGTAGAAACTTCAGAGAGGGTTTTGAGCCATAAAGGGCCATATTTTACCTCAGAAAGGAATTAAAACAGCCTGAAAACTTTTACACTAGGCTAATTAGAGTTGCTGATTCTAATTGTAAAGTTCCCAGCTTATTATGATGCTTTATTGGAAATTTATGCCAGGTAAGCAGTAGCGGCCATTTTTTCAATGTTCCTAAAAAGTGCGATTACACCATTTAAAAAGCTTCGCAGTTTGTGAGTAGTTGAGTATTGAACTCAGGTCTAAAAAACCCTATTACACAAGTTTTCACATTTTTTTGAAAATTTTTGAAACGGCAGCTTTTTTCCACGTTGACGCCATATGTTTCAAGTTTCCGTAATCTTACAGTAATGAAGAGGGATGGGTGATTCGTTCTATACTGCAAGTCTAAGTTGAAGCCAGCTCTAAAAACGGTACCTGAAGCAAGGCAAAAGAATTCTTGGAAAGAGAGATATTAACGATCAAACAGTGCATACATACTTTTGGGACACCCTGTACGTCCCGATGAAATAATTTGCTCAGTCAAAGATTTCATCCTCAGGGATGGAGTGCTATGGTGCAGAACCTAGAATCAGAGAACTCTACAGCGACTTTGCGTCTCAGCTCGAGCGGAGACTTTTTTATTTCTCCAGTTTACAATCAGTCCCTTAAAAAAGTCTGCCTCCCGTCTTCGAGACTGGCAAAACATTTGACCTAGCGTGAATGTAATTTTCAACATGTAACTTGCGACTTTCACTTGTAATCTGAGAAAGAATATTGACAAAATTGACCAAAATCATTTTTAAGGAATTTTGACATGTTGGCTCCACAATTCACAAACTTTCTTCTAATTATTAATTATCTATTATTTTCTGCCACACTTACTCAGAGATTCATAATGTAAAAGTTTGCCTCACAACTTGCTTCTAATGTGTCCTAATGTCAAGCCGAAATTGATGAGTAGCTGTCCTATGGTTACAAAATTTCGGTGAAAACGGTAGACTAGATTGTCTTGCTCTTCCTAAGACAACTCCTGACTGACATGCCCAGCTCTGTTCGCTCACTGTCGTCACCCATGATAGAACTCACCAGTCCAACTCCATTTCGCACAGTATCCTGTCTCCAGCCCACTTCAAAGCTCCAATTCCCTTTCCCAGTAAGGCCTTTGGTGAGCCACGGTCATTCAGATCAACAGAAGTGAGCCAAAGGTAACATATAGCGCCTCAGCCCAGTATCAGCAGTCATCCTCGAGAATCGCTAAAGCACGGTGAACACGTAAATCTTCAATGACGAAAACGTTTGTGAAAATTTGGTGAAATGGCTAAATTACTGCACCTCCACCGAAGAACATGCAAGAGCTTATGACACCATTTTTTGACACCTCATCGGGCAATCTTTGATAGCGTTCTATCCGGTGGAGGACATTAGGTCGCCGATAGGCTCCACCTACGCGGACAGTTCGGGTTGTTTCAGACTGCCGCACTGACCGCAGCAGACTGCAGCAGACTGCAGCAGATTGCAGCAGACCGCAGTAGACTGCAGCTGACTGAAGCTGACCGCACTAACGCACCGGTCGCTGTCTCCTTTCGTAAAAGAAAAAACAACGACGATCATCAAAACACGTAATTTACGCCTAAGAAGAACATAAGTCCCATCACAATTCTTCTCATTCAAATTTTAGCGATAGTTTTTCTTTGGTATGTTCGTATTAGTTTAAATTCCTCCTATTATTGCATATATCTGTTTTGTAACATTCTAGCCCGTGTTGTCTTTTGCTTTTAGGTATGTATTGTTGTTGTTTGTTTGAGCCACAACTATTTATCCTCTCCCCTTTAGGCTTCAGCCGTTGCGGCCGTTGCAGTGAGTGCGCTCAGCTGCAGTCTGCTCCAGTCTGCTGCTGTCTGCTGCAGTCTGCTGCGGTCAGTGCGGCAGTCTGAAACAACCCTTAGCATGACGTAAATGGTAAAGGCGCGAGGTTCTCTGCAAATGTCCGCCTAGGACCGACCCCTTCGGCAACCTGATGTCCTCTACCCCGCTCTGATTCAGCAAACTCGCAACAAGATCAAAAAACCTTATTATCAAGAGGAAAAGACTTGATCTCTCTTCTGTCAGGCAGTAGCTGGCCTCAGGGTAGGCGCTATTGCGGAGGCTCGGCGTGGAATCCAAGGGTATGATAATCCTCTTATTGAAGAACGATCCTCCAGGCGATCGACGCGTCCACGTTCGCTCGGCTTGTCTCCTCGATTTGACCAGACTGCACTCTTCGTAGGGTTCCTTCATACTACGCCGCACACGTCGCGACGCCGCTGCAGCGCAGTGGAAATATGCTCACAACAGCAGAGCTCTGGTGTCTTTCAAGAGAACGACGGATATGAAGTGAGATTAATAATCAAAGAAAAAGTAAAACCACCGAGTCTTTTTTTTGCCGCATACTGTATGGTGTAGCTGAAGTCAGCGCCGAAACTTGAACGATGTTTTGTGGGCGAAGAAAACAAAGTGCGGCAACAACAACGCATCAAATTTGCAATTGCAGAACAGTATGAAGAAGAAAAATCCTTTTCATCTAGTGATGTGTTTGTAAGAAGATGTTAACAGCGCAAATATAAAACCAGATACAACCATACAACCATATACAGTCGAATAGATTTTCCGCTCAATATAGTTAGTGTGCTTGAAGGTGAAATGCGGTAAAGTTTGTGCGTGAACAAGTAGCCACGCCAGTAATGCCAACTTTGCGCGCGCAAATGGCCGGCGTCACAGGCGTAACTGCTTCTTTACGCGCAAATTTTACTGCATTTCACCTTCAGTGCAAGCACACTATATTAAGCGGGAAATTTACTCGACTGTACTACCGATATACAACCAGACGTAATGTGCAGTCAGTTACGATACAAAACGTGAAACTCAAAAGTAGAGGGAGCACAACAACCTAAGTCATTCCATCAATCATTGATATAGACAAAGGATGGACAGGATAAACAAAGCAAAAGAGAGGAGGAAATGCATAATGTGAAGGAACACTATTGAGGGACACGAATGTGCAGCAAATATAGAGATACATAAAAAAAAGTGGAGCTCTGCTGCCGTGAGCATATCTCCATTGCGCTGCAGCGGCGTACGCTGCGTGCGCGGCGTAGTATGAAGGAACCCGTAGCAGTGACGAGAAGACTGATTTGAGCCAAGCGGAGCCGCCTTATATTTATAGCGGCCCATGAAGAAGTGCACGCCCCCGACCGCGTGGTCCCGACAGAAACTACCAAAACATAGCAAAACAATTAAAACACTTAGTAAACGCAGATAAATCGACTAAAAAGGACTGAATAAACACAATAGAGAACAACAGAAGTACAAAGACGCTTGGCGACTTTACATTATTCTTCCAGCAACATAGAATTGGTAGGTAAGAAAACTAATGATTGAAACGAATTCTTACATCAAAAAACTAAGCGGTATACACTGAAAAAGTAAGACACCCGTTTTTAACTGTTTTTCAATGCAATCAACTCTCCAACATAAGTTTCGAGATCGTGCAGTTATGCGAGATTTCAGCGAAAGGCGTAACCTTTTCAAATTACTCACGAACAGCGTACACGATTGCTTTGGTTTCCTGCTTTTGCACGATATCATCGTAACATTACATAAATTCATTGTACGCTTAAACTCGTCGCCGCGGTTGATTGGATGTTCTTCTAACTTGCAATTTTGTAGCATTAAGCTTTTGAAGATGTTCAACAAACTCTCCTCTACTAGTTTGTCTAGTTTGTTGTGAGCGACATCAAAGCGAAAGTTGCCACCAGAAAAGCAAGATCGAGAAGTTTGGATATTGGCTCCAAAACGAAAATGGTAGTGATTGACCACATTCTTATCAACCGAAGGTGGCTTGTATGATGTCACATTAGGTTCATCCATCTAAAATGGCTTCACTCATCGCTCCCTTTGAGCGAAGGTACGATCAATTGAAGAAAGGTCTGTCACAATGCCGAAAAAAATCGTTTATGTCGGTCACAGATTAGAAGAGCCCATAAATTTATGCTGGCACTTGAAAACCTAACATGCGACTACTACCGGCTTTAAAAGGATTGCGACTTGCGGAAAGTGTTGTGCCCCAATGATTTCTGAAAAGAACTTGAAACACATTTCGATTGAGAGAAGAACATCGTCGAGACAGCATTAGAATGAAACCCATTTCGGCCCACTGATTGTCAACGCCAGTTGCAGAACAGCTCTGCAGAAAAATCTTCGAAAGCACAGATAGATCAAAAACTTTAAGTGAAGGAAGACCGATTCTTGAACCGAAAAATCCACCTCTTCCGCTCATCAATACCCGTGCTTACTCCCGTATTTCGCATTAGAAGAAACAACGATCCTACATGCTAAAGAGCGCACCGCTACCCAGTTATAGATGTCTACGCCAGGACCACATCTTCATCTGCGAGCCGAAAGACAACGTCCACACGAGATTTTCGCCTCGCATTCAACGTTTTTCCTTCAGAAAAAAAGATCTCATCCATGGAAAACATTGAGACTGTTCTCCTCTGTGAGGAAGGCGTACGGGGGCATCGTAGGCTATCGTCCAATATGCCTGCCGGGTATGGCG